TCTGCAATCGAGTTTGGAGAGGTTTACCTTAAGTTTGTATCTATTGTGTGCTCATGTATTATTGCGGTTGAAGCTGAAGTAATCATTGACAGGTAGGACATTATAGCAGATAATTTTGTGTACTACATTTAGGTCAGACCTAAGACGGTGTAGTTCTAAGTTGTCTAAGCCCAAAATTTGGAGTCTGGTGGCATAAGGTATTCTGTTGTGAGCAGACGAGGACTCTTCTCGTGAAATACCTCTGGACTCGCTCAATTGTATTAATGTACGATATGCAGTGCGGGTTCCAGACAGAGGAGCCGTATTCAAGAATTGGTCTAGCAAAGGTTTTGTATGCCCTAGTTTGCAGTACAATATTACTGGAGAAGAAGCTTCGCAAGATTAGGTTAACAACTCTTAATGCCTTTTTGGCAATGCTGTTAAAGTGAGCTCTGGTTAAGTTAACAGTTAAGGGAAGTCTTGATACTGGCTTAGCATGTGTTTTATCTCAGCATTTTTTTTAACTAATAAAATAACTGGATGACAGTTTTGAATTCTTTTTCAGTTATTTGGTCTCTGTGTTATTTAACCTCAGTTGAGAATAACATTGAAGTACATTGTAGGATTATTGTAAACCATTATCTCAGCCTCTGCTTGCTCTTAGCTTACTGTAACTCACAGCGGTTTGCACAGGCAAAGAGGAGAGCAAATTCTGAGATGACTGCAAATGGGCCTATTTGGAGATCAAAAAAGTCAAAGGGTGGCTTGAGTCTGATGGTGACTTTTAACATGGTATGTAGTTAATGTCCAGTCTTTCAAAAACTGGAAAAGCGTTCTACTGGATAGTACAGGTATTTCTTGACTTATGTCCGCCAATTGGGACCAGATTTCTGGTTGTAATCATTACAATTGTAAGTTGAGGCACCCACATGACTGGACTCATTTTACCACTTTTGCAGCAGTTAAGAAATGTTGGGTCATAAGTGTGAAGCCATTCTTTTAAATGGATGGTTTTTGCTGGAAGCCAGCAAAAACATTACAAATTGTGGTGATATTACTGCAGGATGCTGCAACTGATCACAAAGGTGAGCCAGTTACTATGCACCTGAAATATAGTCACATGATGTATGTGTTTGCACGTGTGTTTACTATGGTCAGAAATGCTTTAATAAAAGCATTAGTGTAAAGCACCCCTTTTGGCCCCACTGTAATTTTGAATGGTCATTAAGTGACCAGACATAAATTGAAGATTAACAGCAAAATTATAAATGACCTATTGGTAATACTAATAAAAGTTTGCTTAAGTCAGAATACCTCTGATGAAAGTTATTATTCGTTAGATAGATTATAGAATCTATCATTTTTGCTGAATTATACAGCTGATGAAAGAATAAAATTTTTCATCAGGGTGGTTCACAGAAGTACCTTTATTATTTTAGAGCAGGGGTGTTCAAATTCAATTTCACTAGCATTAGCATTGTGTTTGACCTTGGGGGGCCGGGGTAGGTGTGGCCAGGGTGGGCATGGCCAGCTCCACATCACTTGTGTCGGGGCTGCCTGTGGTGATCCCAAGCTCCATTTTCGGCTGCGACAGCCTCCTGCAATCCTCTGCCAGCGAAAATGGAGCTTGGGAATGCTGCCTGCAGCCTTCATGAGTTCCATTTTCGGCTGTGATGGCCTCCTGCAACTCTCTGCCAACAAAAAGAGCTCGAGAAGACTGCATGCAGCCCTCCCAAATTCCATTTTCACTGGCAGAGGCACTGCAGGCCGATCTTTTGCTGTTTCGAGAGCAGCCCCATGGGCCAGATCTAAGCAACCAAAGGGCCGGATCCAGCCACTGGGCCTTGAGTTTGACACCCCTGTTTTAGAGAGTTCAGTACTGCTAGAGTTGAAAGCATCTCCCTTAATTCACTCTATAGAGGAACTTGAAAGCTATGGAATAAGCCTAGTGTTTCTTTTTAAACTAGGTTTGTGCTCATTTAAAAAATGCCTCAGATCTCCCCTGAACACAATTCTGTCCAAGTCTAAAAAATGCCACTGCTTTAAAAATTACACTAGATTTAATAAGCATATTTTTTCAGTTATATGTGGACATTTCTAAAAAAGTTGGACTCGTGTGTGTGTGTGTTTAGTGAGTCTGGGAAGCTTACAGTATTAAAATGCTCAAACCCATCAAAAATAACTCAAAGTGCCTAAGGATAAATAAATAACTCTACTTACCAATATCAAAATGAAATAAAACAGATCTTTTACCCACTTGACCCAAACACCAAGGTAAACAGCTAAAAAAAATGGATATAAAATATCTCATAACGAGTTTATAATTATTTCACTTTAATTTGTTAAAGTTCAAACAAATTAACACATTTATTTGTACAAGAAAACGTGATGGAGAATGCTGATTTTTATAGAGAAGAAAATATCAAGCAAGCAGAGCTAGCAAATAATAGAATAGGACATCTGGGCTGCAAAAATCTAGATGACCATTAGATGGCAGCAAAGAGATACAGTAACAAGCTTTTGCTGCCATCTAATGGCTGCTTGGATTTTCAATGTCCTTATGTGACAGCTCTAATAAAGAGCCAGCAGGATTAAAGTCTGTGTAATAAAGTCTGGAATTTAAAGCCCTGGTTTCAAGCTGTGATTTTAAGAGTTCTACTGGGTGATCTCTTGCTGCCTTTCCAGGTTTGGCTACAGTCTTGCTTTCTTCCCAGATGTTGCCACATAGGCTCGCTTCCTCCTCGGATATGCTACCAAAAGCCATTCACGGCCTATAGCTTGCCTTCCCACCATTCCAGTACTATCGTGTTCAGCTCTTTAGGGCAGCAAGGACAGAATGACGGCAGACAAAGCTGACCAGGGATCAGATCGGAAGTGTGCTTGTCTGAATCCACCCAACTCTGGCCACCAAATTTCACTGCCACTGTAAACTAGTAGGAAAATGCAACAGATTTTACACATGTTGCAGTTGCGGCCGTCCCAAGCTCCATTTTCACTGGCAGAGGCACCACAGGCCAGTCCTTTGCTGTTTCCAGGGTGGCCCCGTGGGCCACATCTAACCACCTCGCGGGCCGGATCCAGGCTCCGGGCCTTGAGTTTGACACCCCTGGTCTAGGTAATGGTTTCATCATGGTTAGGTGCAAATAAGGAAAACCTTGACAAGAAAATCCAAGTTATAAAATTATGTATGGAAAAAGTCTAGGGTTTTTTTTGGAACAAGCCAAATGAGTTGATAAGAGGATAGGACAAATGTTCTATGCACATTTGTGGCCTTTCCTGGATCAGAATATCGTGCACTCAGTTGTTCAGTTCCCTAGTCAGCTCACAGCTGGACTACTGTAATAGCAATAGCACTTAGACCGGGGTGGGCAATTGTGGCCCTTTTACAACCTGTGGACTTTAACTCCCAGAATTCCTGAGACAGCTTGGCCAAGCTGTCTCAGGAATTCTGGGAGTTGAAGTCCACAGGTTGTAAATGGGCCACAGTTGCCCACCCCTGACTTAGGCTTATATACCGCTTCATAGTGCTTTTACAGCCCTCTCTAAGGGCTGGGTGGGCAGCGGGTGGGCAGCTATGGCCCTTTTATGACTTGTGGACTTCAACTCCCAGAATTCCTGAGCCAGCCATGTTAGCTCAGGAATTCTGGGAATTGAAGCCCACAGGTCATAAAAGAGCCATAGTTGCCCACCTCTGGATTACAAAGTCATCATATTTCCCCCAACAATCTGGGTCCTCTGCAATGCACTCTATATGGGAAGGCACAGAGCAGACTGCGGGCTTGCAGACTGGTAATGTGCTTTGCTGGGAATCTGTTCTTTACTGTTGAGACTGTGGTGTGGAATAGATGTATAGGCCAGTACGCCAGTGGTGACTGGAGAAGGGAAAAGATTGGGTTGAAGATGTAATCAAGGCAGAGAGAAGTGTTGGACTGGGAGAGCCAGAAAGGGAAGACAATAGTGGGAAATGCAAGAGGAATTGCTGAGAGGCAAAGAACATTAATCTTCACACACTTCACATACAACTTCACACACCACTGTGTTTCACTTGTCACATAAACCCCTCTGGATTTCGTCCCTCTGTGAGGGAGATGGATGGTTTCTAAATACACAAAATAAAATTTTGCACCATCTGAAATCCAAAGCAAAGTAGAACATTCCCGGTTTCTGCCAAATTGCAGGCAATTCAAGGTGTCTGGGCTTAGTTCTTGAATGTAATGATCTATTATAGATTCTAAACAACTATTTTCTGTGCTAAAGGAGAATATTTGTAGCTCAGTGTTGAAATAAGAGATCCTTGGTGCTCTCTGAGCTTGGTTGTTTTCTTGCAGGCATTTCATTACCCCAACCAGGTAACATCGTAATAGGTAACATGACCAAGGGCCCCTCAACTATTTTCTCTTTTGTGTAGAAACTTAGCAACAGCAAATTACAACAAAGCTGAAAATAAAACGCGAAGCCAGTTTAGCCTGTTTCTCTGCCTTTAATAGGGGTTTAAGTTGTAGAAAAGGGAGAGCTTCACAGGGTGCGAAACTAAAATGGAAGTTTTATGCAGGGATTCTACTTCTAACCCCAACTCCATTCAGTTTCAGTGGTTTTTAGTCTGAGTCACTGCTCTGCACCCTTAAAAATGTGTATTTGTTTATTCTCACAGCAAAAATGTAAACATGGTTACTTCCAAGTGATCTGCCCCATTTTATCTTAGTCTATCCAAGATAGCCAAGAAACAAACTTTCTGGGCTGTCTGTACTAGTTTCCAATGTATTCTTTCCTGGGAGTAAGCTCCATTCAGCCCACTCAGGTTTACCTTACTTACTTTACTGTAAATCCCTCCATCTCCGGCCTGGAGGCTTTTTTTCCTCTAATGATTCGCTCAACTCCCTATAAACCACGGGCCCTTCTCGGGCAGTTTTGGAAAGGGTTAAAGGAAAACGTCAGGGCCGAGCCCCTAACCCTCCCCCGGCTTCTACGGAGATCGGCAGCTCAGCCTTTGCCAGCTGGGCGCGGTTTCTTTCCAGCAGCATCGCATAAAGGGGGCTGGGCATCCGCCGCCGCCTTCTTCTTCTGCTCTTCAAGGCCGCCGCCTCCACCGCCGCTCGCCCAGCTCCTTCCTCCTCGCCCTGCACGCCGCACAAGCCCGAAGATGGCGGCTCACCATCTCCTCGCCCGCTTGCACCGCTGCCTCTTGCCCGCCGCTTCCCGATGGGGGTCGGGGCACAGGACGGCGCCGCTGGCTCTCGGGGCGCAAGCCAAGGTAAAGCGGCCACGTCGCGAGGTTTGGGGGTCCCCCCGCGGGGGGGGGGGGGGGGGGATGGGCTTGCAGCAGCGTTTTGCTTTTGGCCGAACCTGACCCGCTGTTGGTAGATTCGGGCATCCTTCGCCAGGTTCATGGCAAGTGGGGCCGGGTGGCTTCTCCCGGGTTGGTGGCCGAGGGCGCGCGGGAACGCAGCCATCCCTTTGGAGATCCTTTTCCCTAAGCGGTCTCTTTAAGAGCGACTTGATCCGCCGCAATTGGCCGGGGGTCAAGTTCAGCTGCGCGCCTGGATGAACCTGAGCCTGGTCTTGGCGGGGTCAAGCCGTTCTCGCAGGCAGAAGAGCCGGTCAGACCACTTGCAGTCGCGTCTCGCCCTTCTCGCGTTTCTTTGCGCCCTTCTTGGCTGTGGCGCGGAGTCACCCCCCCGCGACAACTAGTTGGGCCTGTTTCGTTGGCTCCCACCAGGATCGAGTCTAGCCCCAGGGCTCTTTCCGTTCCCCCCACCGTGCAAGGAAAATATTTCACCCCAGCCAGGGCAGGAAAGGTGACCTCCGATCTGGCTGCAGAATGAATGACGCGCCTGCATCCTTTCTTCTGCCGGCTGGCTGGAGAGGTCAGCGGATTACGGGCGTAGCGCGTCCTTGGACGTGGTTGCAGAAAAAAGGGGACTGTGCCGCCGACCTGACCTTGAGGAAGAGAAAAGGAGCGTTTCAGCTCTGTTTCCGCAACTGGGTGCTTCATTTACTTCAAACGGAGGAAGGGGGCGATCCAGTGGTAGGCCCGATCCTCTAGAGGAGGCTTTAATGGATCTCTTTGAAGAACGGTGGCTGAACGGAACGGTGGCTTCTTACAGCCCGATTCTGCGCATGGCTTACTTGCTTCTTTTAAACAGCCTTTCCTCTGTGAGGCCTTATCTGTCTGGAAAATGAAAGTTTTTTAAAAAACCATACCCACACATGCATCTCTCCTCGCAGGAATATTAATTGGAGGACTTATTAAAGCTATGTTTTGCGACAGCTTCCTCCAGGCTTTGGCAGTGTTTTCCAAACTTGGCAACTTTTAAGATGGGGGAATTTCAAGTCCCAGAATGGTGGCTGGGGAATTCTAGTAATTGAAGGCCTCTTAAATGTGCCAAGTTTGTAAAACACTGGGTTGCCATATCTGAGCTGCAACAATTTGGTTGATCACAAAATAAAGGCAACTAAATTGTTGTTGGACAGTGTATCTCATCAATGGAGTTAGCCTCTAAATCAGAGTGGGTTAAGAATCGCACCTACTACTGGTTCCTGGCATCTACTGATCTGAAAAGGGGTGTTGTGGAATGAAAGGACAAAGCAACATTCCTGGGTTAGCCAGAGCCAGTTTTATTGCGCAAGGTTCAGAGCCAGTTTTGTACTTGGAGCTTTGAACAAGGAAAGAACTCTGATACAACGGTTTTATACATTTTTAAGACAAAGGATTCAGTGAGATCATACATTTTCCATATATGGTTAATATGAGATCATACATCCGATTTTCCCTATATGGTTACATACATTGGATAATATGTTCATCTAATTACTTAAAGCATTAATCTTAGTTTATAAAATTATCTTAGCCACACAACTTTTCTTAAGTGCTCGGAGTTGCTAATGGGAGATTTACTGCTGTCCTTGGGTAAGTTTATTGGATTAAGTAACTCTTTGTAACATATAAGTCTTTGTGTCATTCACAGTGAGGTCACTCAGATGTTTTCCATATGGCTGTCCTTTCCGTGACATCTATGTCTCAGAAGATATATTACCACTTAATGAGGTTTAACTGTTTGTTAATGTAATTTCCAACAAGCACTTTCCTCTCTTATAATAATGTGAATAGAGAGGGTCCCCCAGAGCCCATATATCTGACTCTGTATGATTCCTTTCTTTTATTCACATTATTTCTTTTATCTACATTAGCGGTAGTAATAAATGTTCCAGTTCAGCTGGAAATTCCAGGAAGAAATACAGATAGTCCTTGACTTATGATCAGATGTTTAGCCATCATTCGAAGTTACAACATACCCCGCCCCCCAAAGTTATGATCCAATTTTGAAGTTTTGATCCCTTCCCTGCAGTCACATGACTGCATTTTGGGCACTTGGCAACCTGCCCATATTTATGTCTATTTGCAGTGCTCCCCTGATCAGGTGGCCATAATTTACAATGTTTTTGCCAGAAACAGGAAGTTCTGTAACTGATCATCACAAAAGTTATAAAATGCATCAGGTGATGTAACCTGCTTGACCACCATCATGACTTTTGATTGTAATTGTCAGGCTCAATTATAGTTGTAAGTTGAGGACTTATCTATAGTTACCTTAGTTGGCTGGGATAATGTAGCTTACCACAAAGTTCCCTGATGGTGAAGATAAAAATGATGAAAGAATACAAGTATTAAAACATTTGGAGAGAGTCGAGAGTTGGAGCTATTGTTAGACAACTGTCTGTCCAAGATAGGGTTGGAAATATCTCTGCCACAAGAGTAATGATTTCCTCTTTCGATTTAAATATTTAAAAGCCTATATATCAGTCTTCTTAAGCCTGCTGTCTTCCAAATATGTTGGGACTGCAATTCCCCTGGACCATCCTAACTTGTATTTCTTGGAGCTTATTCCTTACATCCTGAAGGTCATTGTAAAGTAAAGCTTTCTTCAAGAAGTGACTGTCTTCTCAACATTTGAGGAGAAGCACAGGATAAAATGTATTCTATTATTGGGTTTATATCCCTGCCTTTCATTCAAAAACCTAAATTGGCATATATAGCAGTCCTTGTATTTTTCCTACAGCAACAAGCAGCTGGGAATTTGGGGCTGAGAGCCCCAAGATTCAATGAGGTTTATTTCCTTCTTGCAGCCTTAATAAAGTCACAAAAGTTATCATGACAGATGATAATTTTACTATTCCTAGAACAGGGAAGTCCAACCTTGGACAACTTTAAGACTTGTGGATTTCAACTCCCAGAATTCCCCAGCCAGCCATGAATTCTGGGAGTTGAAGCCCACAAGTCTTAAAGTTGCCAAGGTTGGACACCCTGTCCTAGAATGATGATTCTCAACCTGTGATCCATTTTGGACATATTCTGTAAGTTAGCCCATTTGAGGTACTTGGTTGAAAAATTGTTGGCCAGTGATGCACTGTTTTGCCCAGTTAAAGGTTATGGGAACAAGAGTGTTAATAGTATATAGATGGATAGCCAATGTAGTGATGGGTTAATCATAAAAGGCTCTTTGAGTTAGCTGGCACCATCTGATTAGTTGAAAACTCTGCTCTTGTCAATAAAAGGTGATGAACTGGTTGCTTGGCTGTTTTGTTACTCCAATATTAGTGAAACATAGCATGTGCCATGTGATTTTCCATGCCAGGGAGAACAAACTGTGAGCTGCTTCTTTCGGTTTCAAGAGCTTTGTGGTCTGAGTCATGCTGCCAGGCATACCTTATTAAGTACTTTATTTTTTTATTTATAGAACTTATATGGCTGCCTCCTTTACACACAATAATCCTATGTAACTCACAACAGGCGAAACTGAGTGACTGACATGCCTTGTTTACATAAATAAGATTAAAAAGTACAGTATCTAAAATACCAATAACAAAGTAATACAAAACAGTGCCAGCGATAATAAAACACTGCATTCATTCATGAAAATCCACATTTTTCGTGCCCCCTTTTAGTGACAATTACGTTGGTATTGCTTGCAGGTTGTCGATATTGTTCTTTCTGATTACAAAAGAGTAATAGTTTGATAGGAAGATTCATTTCTTCAGTGCCTAACTTTTGGCAACTTGTGCCCTCAGTTGATAATTTCTGGACAGAATGATTGTGAGAATACTGTATGATTCTAAAACAGGTCACACAGTTGAATCCTAATTTGGAATTAAAATTCATTTATTTTTCTTGGAATTATTTTGCTGTTTGGTACTTATGTTATTGGAAGAAACTGATTCGTAATCAGGACCTGTTGAACTGGAGCATTAGACTAAATTAGTTGTTTTGATTTGTCAATGGCAAGCATTATAAATAGGTTCACCTTGGTTCTTGTTATGTTTAGGAATTGCTTAAGATAGTAATCACTGTTTATATATGAAGTTGTGTTTTCTTAAGAATAGGGCCATGCATAGACAAAAATGTTGCAGTTATGTTTTTTTCAGCTTGTAAGATCCTCATTTTTAAGTCATGAGTATTATTTGTAATACTTCTATTTTTCTACCTATGCAGTACCCTTTTTTCTGAATAATTAAAGAGTAGTTAGGTTTAGGTTAGGTTTAGGTTTATTTGATTTGTATACCGCCCTACTCCCGAAGGACTCAGGGTGGTGAACAGCCAACAATAAAATACATAAATACAAAAAATTTAAAAACCAGATAAAATCAAATTAAATCATTTTGGCCCAGACAGATTAAAACTCCCCAATAATTTAAAAACAGATTAAAATTTACATATTTAAAAAGGGAATAAATTAGGCCAAGCCCGCCTGATGGAATAAAAAGGTCTTCACAGCACGGCGGAAGGAGCGCAGATCCGGGATCCTCCGTATCTCCGGGGGGAGCTCATTCCAGATGGTAGGTGCCCCCACAGAGAAGGCTCTCCCCCTAGGGGCCGCCAGTCGACACTGTTTGGCTGACGGCACCCGGAGGAGTCCCTCTCTATGAGAGCGTACTGGCCGGTGGGAGGCTATTGGTGGTAGTAGGCGGTCCCGTAAATAACCAGGTCCTAAGCCATGGAGCGCTTTAAAGGTGGTAACCAAAACCTTGAAGCGCACCCGGAAGACCACAGGGAGCCAGTGCAGCTCGCACTGTTAGTTAGTTGTGCAGTAATCCTAAAATTGTTACTACTTGTCTTAAATATTCAGGTGATTTTAAGAGCTAGTCATTATGCACTAGATTTTTATATGTCTTTTTCATATTCTGATAAAGGAAGCAACATTTCAGCAGATTTTTGTGTTTGGAAAAACAGCATTTCAAGCAATTCTTAAGAAATATCAATATTTTTTTTGTTAGCTTTTCTTTTTTGGGGTACCAGTAACTTGCTGTCATTTAGGGCTAAATAATATGCTGTTCACGATGAGAAGACAGTTCCAAATATGTGACACCATTAAGGAACAGGCATAGTAAGGATTGGCAATGAGGAGGAAGTATTAGTAATGTTAGCAGGGATGATGAAAGCTGTTGGAAGGACACTACCTAGGGTAAAAGTATTAGAAACAATGCTATATTAAACTACAGCTCCTTATTGCAACCTTCCCCAAGGGAGCACCCCTCTAGGAATGTGACTATTGTGCTTCTAATGTGATGGTTCTGTTTCCACATGAAAGCCAATTCAAGCAAGTTCAGGATGGTTTTATACAGAACTAATGTGCAACCCAGCTCTTAATATCCTATAACAGATAGTTCCATGTCTGCTACTTTTGCCCTAAATTAAGTGTCTCCCTCTATCACAGTGTTTTGCAAATTTGGCAAGTTTAAGATGGGTGGACTTCAACTCCCATGGTCGCTGGGGAACTCTGGGAGTTGAAGTCCACCCATCCTAAAGTTGCCAAGTTTGAAAAACACTGTTCTAGACCATGGCTGGCTCAAGAATTCTGAGAATCGAAAACCACAGGTCTTAAAGGGGCCGTTTTTCCCCACCCCTGCTCTAGAGCCTTCCAGATGCATCTTAGAGAATTCCTGGCCCTCCTATTGGGTGAAATCCAGCAGGTTCTGACATGTTCTGGAGAAAATTTTGCGGAAATTTTGAGCAGTTCGGAGAACCGGTAGTGGAAATTATGAGTAGTTCGGAGAACCAGCAAATACCACCTCTGGCTGGCCCCAGAGTGGAGTAGGAATGGAGATTTTGCAATATCTTTCCCCCAGGGGTGCGGAGGGAATGGGGATTTTGCAGTATCCTTCCCCTGCCACGCCCACCAAGCCACGCCCACCAAGCCACACCACGCCCACCAAGCCACACCCACAGAACCAGTAGTAAAGAAAATTGGATTTCACCAGTGCCTCCTAGGATCCCAACTTGCGGAAAGCTGCCCTCAAGAATTTGCTGATGGTAGCAGGTACTGCTCACGTCTAAGTGTGGAATTTTTTCTACTGGGTTCTATAGGTTATTTGATATAGTAGATTTATATCCCTCCTTTTATTTGGAAACTCAAAGTGGTCTATGTAGTACTTCCCTCTTCTTTTTCCTCACAAGAAGGAAAATATCAGTTGGACTGAAAGAGAGTGACTGGCCCAAAATTACCCAGAACATTAAAATTTGGGTTGTCCTGCTCTTAGTCCAACACACAGGCTTTCAGTTGTTTATTATAAGGAATTGGGTCTTTTCCTCAGCAATGTATAATGTCTGGATCATTTTTTCCCTAATATACATGATTGCGGTCTTTCCTTTTATCAGAGGATAGCTAAGAATTGTCCTCTTCTGCCCAGCAATGTTGTAAAAAGTAAACATGCACCACCAGAAAAAAGAATGGAGCTTTATGCAAAGATACGTGTACACAAATTTACGTGTATAGATGTATGTATGTATGATACAAAGTCATGATTCATATGATGTCCTAAATCATAAATCATGGTTTACAAATCACTAGGGCTGTGCTCATAGTACTGTACTGTACATGCTAAGTGAGAATTAAACCAATTCTGGTGTAACGCGATGTGAGAACATGACTTGCTTGCCTATCAAATGTTCAGATGCTTGTTGCTGATCAGCAACTTCTCATGTTACAGTTCTTTAATTTTAAATTGGATGAGAGACCTTCTTTCTCACTTAGTAAAATAGGATAGATCAGTGATGGCTAACCTTTTTGCCATTGTGTGCCGGGGGGGAGGGCGGGGGGGTCCCGCACCTGCATGCCCACACCCATAATTCTATGCGTCGGAAGGCCCGTTTTTTGCTGTCCCCAGCCTCCAGGGCCTTTCTAGGAGTCTCTGGGGAGGGCAAAAACGGCCTCCCCCCCGGGAGATCCTCCAGAGGCCGAAAATGGCCCGTTTGACAAATTCCGGTGGGACCTCTGGGGGGGTTGGAGTTGGGAAGGCCATTTTCACCCTCCTCAGACTCCTAGAGAGGCCCTGGAGCCAGGTGAGAAAGAAAAACGGGCCTTCCCCTCCCCCCCCAGGTCCTCCGGAGGCCTGTTTCCTTACTTCTGGTGGGCTCAGAAGACCCGAAAATCAGCTGGCCAGAGCTGAGCTCACGTGCCCACTGATGTGGCTATGCGTGCCACCTGTGGCACGCATGCCATAGGTTCATCATCACGGGGATAGATGGTGCTTAGTAACATAGGATAGACAGCCATCCAACTTCCAGTGTTTGACACTTGTTTTCTGATAATCTGATTTCATATAATTGACATGATTTTTTTATGCACATACAACTGACACATACATATAATGTGTCGTTCTCTTCGTCTCTCTCTCTCTTTCTCTCTCTCTCTCTCACACACACATAGACACGTACGTTATATTGTTTGGATGTTTTGTTTCTCAGGAGCACCTGCTGTTACAGCTCATCATAAGAAAACTCACAAGATGTATAGAAACTGAGATTTTGTCTGTAATTGAGGTCACTTTAATTTCTGAGACTTCACTGTGTTCTGTAAACTCTTTCACATATATCCTGATGAAATGTGATTTCGTATAGGTTTTGTGTTGGCATAAGAAATGTAAGGGCTCTTTGTCCCATATGATAGTTATGTTCTTTAGGATCCCTTTTTGATCTCCAATTATTATATATATATATATATATATATATATTAATACAACTTTGCAAAAACATAGTTGTTAAAGGTGTAAATATAGTCCTGAACTAAACTTCAGAAATATGGAATTTACTTTTTCTGAAAAACTTGGATTTTACTGAGCCTAAATGAAAATCATTCTTTCCAAGCAAAAGGAAAACAACCACTAAGTATTAAAGACTGAATTCAAGAGATGTGTGCTTTGTAAAGTTGTGAAGTTATAAGACATGCAAAGGAGACACAATATTTATTTATTTATTTTATTTTTGCGATTTATATGCCACCATTCTCCCGAAGGACTCAGGGCGGCTTACAACAACAATCAATAATACAAATCACAAAATAAGTTAAAAACCCCTTAAAAACCATATTTAAAATTATTACAGTTTGTGCAACCCCTAGCAGATCAAGTTATTTGACGGAAGAGCTACGTCTTCAGTTTGCAGCGAAAGGAGAGGAGGTCCAGGGCTATCCTGAGCTTGGTGGGCAAATCATTCCAGAGGGTCGGCGCTCCGACAGAGAACGCTCTCCCCCTGGGGGCCGCCAGTCGACATTGTTTGGCTGACGGCAACCTGAGGAGGCCTGCTCTGTGGGAGCGCACGGGATGGTGAAAGGAAGGCAGAAGATGGTCCTGCAAGTACCCCGGGCCTAAGCCATGTAGGGCTTTATAGGTGAGTACCAGTACCTTGAAATGGACCCGGAGAGCAACTGGCAGCCAGTGCAGCTCGCACAGGAGAGGCGTTGCACGGGAGTAACGAGGAACTCCCGTAACTTTCCGCGCGGTTGCATTCTGGACCAGCTGGAGCCTCCGGATGCATCCCAAGGGCAGCCCCATATAGAGGGCATTGCAGTAATCCAACCGAGAAGTAACAAGGGCGTGGGTGACCGGGCCAGGGCATCTCGGTCTAGGAAAGGGCGCAACTGGTGCACAAGATGTACTTGTGCGAAGGCCCCCCTGGTTACGGCCGTCAGATGGTCATCCATGGACAGCCGAGAACCCAGGAGGACATCCAGATTGCGAACCCTAGCGGGTTCGCAATCTGCAAAATCATATAGAAACAATCATATAGTAACAATAAGTTTCTATATGATTTATATTTAATAAGTGAAGACAGAACTAGTAAATTATTTGGATTTTTTGGGGTTAATTTTTAGTTTATTTCCCATATATATAGTTTTTAATTTTGGTTGTTAAATTCATTAGTACAGTAACAAGAGTATTCCATTCTATGTTTGTGTGTGTGTGTAGTTTTAGTGTGATATAAAGCTCTAATATGCATTTTGTGGATATTTTGCAATTCTAGATCAGTGTACATCTGTATGTGTTATACAGAATACACAATCAATACATCTGTTATTTGGATTAACTGTATAATGTCGGATCCATGACATTCTCATCTCCTCCTCACCTCCCCCCTCCCTTCTCCACTTTTAGACTTGCGGCTGCTATTTTTCAACCAGTTCCTGTCACAATACCAAATTTTACACTGATCCGGTAGAAGCAGTAAAAGACATACCAAATGGGTCTACTCTCCTTGTTGGTGGTAAGTAGTGAAATTCCACTATTTTCCCATGTAAACTACAGGTAGTTCTCACTTACTGGTCTTTTAGCAACTGTTCAAAGTTACAGTGGTGCTCAAAAAAGAAATTTACAATTCATTTATTACCTTTGCAGTGTCCCTTAGTCACATGATCTCCATTATAGTCAATATGTGGCGTCCTGTGCCTCAGCTGTGACTTTTCTTTTCCTTTGTAGAGCTGAGAGATTGGAGAGAAAGATTTCAAGAGAGTAAGCTGTTTGCTTGAAAGCAGTGCAATCATGCTGGGAAACGTGGATATGCTATGCAAACAGTTTACGGTACTTTCTTGAAATCTCTTCTTCTCCAATCTCTTGGCTCTGCCAGGGATAGAAAAAAAAAAGGCAAGTGATTTCGGTGGGCAATTTCTTCTTTGCCTGACCCCTTGCCCCTCCTTTGCCAGAGTGGAGAGATTGGAGAGGAAGTGATTTCAGGAGAGTAAACTGTATAGCTTACCTTTGTGCATATATATTTGTGTTTATCTTTTAGGATTGTAAGATGCCCAGAGTTACCCTGTGGTAAGATGGCTGGCCAATAAATTTTATAAATAAATAAAAAATAATGACTAAATGTGATCACTTTGCTTTCAATGTCTAGAAGAGCAAAACGACCTTACTTTGTACAGATCTTTGTTTCTAATCTTTTTGCATTTCTGCAAGCGGGGAATAAAAAGAAGCAATTTCTGCAAGCAGCTCTCCTTTGCCTGATCCTTGCCTCCACACCTCCACAGGTTGCAGAGGAAGAGCAAGATATTTCAAGAGAGTAAGCTGTTCATGTAGCACGCCTGCGGCTCCCAGCCCTGAGCTGTGGTGCAATCTCATTGCTTTCGATGGGTACAAGATAGTAAGCAGGCATTTGAGCATTCCAAAGGGCAGGGAAGTGGTTAGGTGAATAGAATCTGAAGGTGTGAAAGTCAATACAAATGCCTTGTCTCTTTCTAGCTGGAAAGCACAGTCCCAATCATGTGATTTCCTACTTAGTAACTGCCTCCACTTACTGATGGATTTGCCAGTCCCAGTTAGGGTTGTTAAGCAAGGACTATCTGTATGTATTTAAATCTGTAATTGTCAATGTTTTATGCATGCCTCTATAAGAGATACATGTAGATTATGTACACCTGAGATGTTCGAATGGATGTATGGGGAGAGTTTATAGTATTTTGGCTGTTTAAAAAAAAACCCTAAGCAGAGTAAACCAATTAGTACTTTATTGGGAAACAACTATTGTCCCACTGTCTTTTTCTCAGATAGATTTAGCGTAGTTTATAGCCCTGTGATTTAGTGGAAATCAAGGAATCAAAAATACATGTCAGAAAAAGACAATAGCAAATGTCTTCCTTATTGTTACAAAAATTCTTGTTTGAGCAAGACTTTAGCTTATGTTCTAAGATTGCAGAACTGCTCAAGCATGTAGAAGCTGCATGGCTTAGTGAGACTGAATATACTTATTCTGTTTATAATTTGGGGTAAACTAAAGTTGAAAAAAATACTTAATGTTTCAAATACAGTATGGGCCAAAATGCAGATATTAGTTCCATACCCCATAAAAATCCTTAAAAGCTGAGAGTGTAAAGGTTTTAAATAATGGGTGCAATACCCTGAGATCCCAGAAACTGGTGACTCTCTAGAAGTTACCACTCAATTGTGTCTTTTGAATACGATAGGTGGAAGAATAATAATTTTGATTTATCTCATTAAAATATTGATGGAAATTAAATCATGCTTTATGTTTTGTTCTAGCTTTGACTTCTAATTTTGTCTTGATCCTACTTACTATTGAACAGTGACTTCTGGTATCACGTTCAAAAGTTACATATGATTGTTCTCTCAAATAAGGTTGTTTGACTTTGTCCATTTCTTCTTCTAAATGGCTTTGATTTTTTCTACAAATTTATGAACAAGAAAATTGCTTCAGCCTGGAAAATAGAAGATAATAATTTAGTAGATTGTTTTAGTGTGAAAGCTGAGGTATTATATGACTCATTCTCAGGAAGATTAAAGCAGTATAAAATTCAATGTATAAGAAAAGCATGATTGGTGTTAGCAATGAGCAAATATGCATTCTGAATACAAATAGCTCTTGCTTAGTGACTATTCAGTTATGATGGTTGTGAAAAGGTAACTTTGTGGCCAATGACTGAATGTACATCCTTAGCAGGTTTGTAAAGAAAAGGAAATCTGAAGTAATATCACAAGCAGATTTGTGACCACATGATTTTTCACTTTGCACCTGCTACACTTAATGACTAAGTTGCCAGTCCCAATTATGGTCACTAAATGAAGATTACCGGCAATGTTAATAAATCTATTATAATAATTTGGTAACTTCCTTTATTGTAAAGTTTTGGTTACAAAAATTACCAAATTTATTATAATAGGAACTTTTCGTCAGTTACGTGATGTATATTTCAATCCTACCTGTGTAGAAATAGACTGAGATCCAAGGTGTTAAACATCTTTCAAGACTTTTTAGTGTATAACATTCTTATATATTACCAAGAAAACATTTTCTGTTTTCATTTATGATTCAGGTCTTTCTCCTTTCCCCCCATTTCATTTTATAGCTCACACAGTTCACAGCTCATTGAGATGCTAGGGTTTGGATTATCAGTGAGTTTCTGCCAGCTGCTTCAAGTCTTTTGTGCGTGACAAATTATGGTGTTGGGGTGTCTTATTCTGATTATTGACTAAAGGTTTTGGCTGTTCCAAAATCCAAGTTATAGGATGCCTTCTCCTGAATTGGGAAATAGAATTGTGTTAGTGGTTCATCATGGGAGAACTATATTTTCAAAATAGAGTTATTCACTGCTGAACAATTTGTGTCACATAGGTTTTGGCCTCTGTGGAATTCCAGAGAACCTCATAGGAGCTTTGTTGAAGACTGGTGTAAAAGGAATAACCGCTGTCAGTAACAATGCAGGGTAGGTATTTTCCCCCCAATACCAGTTATTAGGATTATTTTAAACATCTCTAGTAATGCTGCACAGGGAAAGAAATTCCTTATCTTTGCTTTGTGAAGAACCTATTTTGCAACTTTAACGGATAAGGCTACTTTTTTTTTTTTTTTTTTGCAAGTTCAATTAAGCCTGAACTTTGGCTATATTCTTCTCTCTACTTATTTTGCTGCACCTTTTAATGGCATGACTACCCAACAGTGGTACATAATCATGTCATAAACAGGGCTGCTGTCATGGCTATTGCAGAGGGTAAGTTATTCATTCATTTAAATATCTGCTATAAACTTCGGTTGGTCACCCATTAAAGACACGTGGTTGAAATAATAAGACATTGGATGAAATGCACAGATGCGAAAACATTTTGGTGTATTTTAAAACAGGAGTTTAAAATTGAAGTTGAAAAAAGGTTGCATTTTTGTAATATAAAATCATCACCTTATTATTGTACTTGGTTCTTCAAGTATTCATATGTAAGGTCGAGGTTCTCAAACTGCAATTCAGCAATACAGTGACTTAATAAAAGAGATGAAATGCATGAGTACAGTATCCATTCCTATGCGTTATGATCTTATTGAGCTTATGGTATGAAAGTAAATGAATGCACAATTTTCTTCAATAATTAATTTTTGCTCTCTATATACAACAAGCAGTAATATAATGTAACTGAATAATATAAAACAGTTTAATGTTAAGCTACCTCAATAAAATCTAACACTGTATTTTAAATGCGATGGATGAATTTGTTTCTCCCTTGCAATGTGTAAGCCTGGCTATTTTGGCTTATTCAACAAGCCATGATAAAACACGATGATTTAAGATTGCAAAATCGCTAGTTTTATGAATCAGGCTTTATTATTTTTTAACCCAGTTTTTATTTTATTTAAAACATTAAAATACAAACTTCCAAAAAAAGAAAACAAAAACAAAACAAAGCTAAACAAGACTACACCCCAAAAAAGTACATAAACAAGACAAAAAAACATATATGTAAATTGTCCCTCCCTCCCCCCCCCGTTGAATACTGATAAATATATTTCAAAGATAATAACTCTTCCCCCCTTGTGAAGCAGGCACACAATTTATAAATTTCTGCAACAGTATTTACCCAACCCACTTACCCTGGCATCTATTCAATATATGAAAACATAGTCAACGGGTATAACCAACAGCTAAATTATGAACCAATCTTTATTTATTTATATAAATTTATAATATATAACCATATATTGAAAATACTGATTCTTGGTCAGGGACCTCTAACATGAATGTTCAAATAATGTTAGGAAGACCCTCACAATAGAAGTTAGCTTTTAAGGTACTTTTTGTATTAACCTCTTGTTAATCCTTGGAGGAGTAACAAAATCTTTTTTGTGTCTTCTCCAAATAATTAAAGCACAGGTGTCTTTTTTATTCCTTTGTTTAACTATGGGAGCATTGCCTTGGAAATAATCCAGTGCATTCTCAATTCTGATAATGGAACATTACAAAAGTCCTTATATCATACTAGACAAATGGCTGTCCAATCTTTTCTTGGATCCTCTAAAATTAAAGCATTTAAAATATTTTAAAAGGGAAAAAAACCTAAATTAATATCTGTTTCATTATACATTATATATATAAAATACTGAATCCTACATTTTTCTTGTAAGTAAATGTTTCTCTGTTTTTATTGATATATATGAGCATTTCAGGCCAAATATTGTAAGAATGTGAATAACTGTTCTATAGAATAGAAAACCTGATTTAGATTGGCTATTTTAACACTTTTGAATGTAATACTGAGGTTAAACATTGAAAGATTTTCTCCCTTAGTTATCAATGCTACTGTTGACAGTGCAACTAAATGATTAGATAAGTCCACTTTTCCAATTATTCAAACACTTTTCGCAATTTTTCATTTCCTAGTTTGAATACTATTTTCAGAAACCTGATACTGTGCACCAGAACAATGTGAAACTTTATCATGATGTTTATGAAATGCCAAAAATTTTTATTAATTGTCTTTGTTGAGAGTTGAGAAAGATTTAGACACTGTTGTAAAATTGAGAAATTTGGCACTGTATTTTGTACTTTTGCCTTTTCAGTGTTGAAATCCTTAAATTGATGGTAGTAAATTCCCTAAATTGTTATTGGCAACCATTTGTAAGGGGCTTTCTCTTTTTTGTTGTGTGCTAATCCCAGATCTTAAGTGTGTAGGAGAAGGAGTGGCAGGACCTGGGACGGAATTAAAAGAGGGATCAGACTAGAGTCCCTATGTATTGTATTCTAACAACAGCTGTGACCTGGGGCAGGGGAGATGGCAGGTGCCACTCAGGAAGCTTTGATAGCTTTCAGAGGCTTTTTGCTATAAAGAAATAGACATGAGATCTTGTAGTTGAAATTAGATTTCAATTGGATTTGTTGCTGCTGAATCAGCTTTCTGTTGTGCAGCAATAGGCTTGTCTGAGCTGCTTGATTCCATTGCTGTGCCGGCAATGGAATTCCCAAGGCTTGATAATCTGTGGGGATTTTAATCTGCTCCCAGATGGCGTTGAATTTGGGAATGGTTCATGACAACCATGAGCTTGACCCAGATAATCAAGAGCTACGAGTTACCAGAGGTCCCAGAGGTCCCAGAGGTCATACATTAAATCTAGTTTTATCTTGGGGCTGTTGCAACCTGACCTGAGGGCTGGAGGATATTGTGTCTTTTGTCATGATTGCTTTTTGCTTGTTTGCGACCCTTCTCCCATCAAAGAGGTGTGCCTACCCTAGAAACTGGATGGGTTTCAAAATGAGCATGAGTTTTTCCTGAGATACGCTGGTCCGTTTCTCTGAGGGTTTCTCTCTGGAATGGGAGGTGATGAGGGCCTTAATCAGGTACTCCTCACTTAATCACCATTTATTCAGTGACTGTTCAAAATTACAACAATGCTGAACAAACGATAATTATGGCTGGTTTTCAAAGTTACAATGCTCTTGTGACCAAATTCTGGCACTTGGCAGCTTGCCTGCATTTATGATTGCAGCGTGCACTTCAACTCTCATTACCTGCCTACATTCCCTCCTCCCCATTTCTCCTCTTTTGGCCATCCTACACTCCACTGCCATCCTCCACCTGTGCTGCCCTCAGATGACCTCCATCTTCTTTTTCCTGCTGCTAATGAGGCATTGCCTGGTCATCCTGCACCATCTCTTCCTCTTTGGTGACCCTTTTGAGGCCCGAGGTACCCAGGACTGCCTTGTCCTGCTCCTCCGGTCCTTCCTCCTGGGCCAGAGAGGCTGCATCCTCTTCCTCCATTGGTCCCGGCTTCATTTCCCCCTCCTCAGAATTGGGCTCTGACAGGGCCATGACAAAGCTTCTGGGTGCAATTCAAGTTCCCACTTACTACTACTTACATGGCTCATGGCATAATCCCGGTTATCTGAAGAATGATCTTTCATCTGCAGTGAAAGCCTGTCCATTCCATGTAATCTAACAGATTTGGCTTGCTTTAGGTCCCATTGATTAAGTAATTGCATTTGATAGACCCTCTTTGTTGTGATGCTTACTGTCTGAAACAACATTTCTCTAGAGATTTGTATGGTTTCGCATTCTGTCTACACTTAAAATAAGCTTTAAAATTCTGGCTCTTCCCCATGGTATCTTCCTCCAGATGCCAGCTGTTCATTTTGTGGGCTACTATTTTAACCATTTTATGCTTGGTAAAGCTTCCTAGAGTTGCAGGTCGGCAACCTGGAATTTGACAAATAAATGAATGAAGGAGGAAAGCAAAGGGAGGTTTAGTGACCTCCCTGCTTTCTGCTGAAATTCCTCCTCCTTAAAATCTGCTCGAAAAACTCCCCTATATTTCTGAAAGATTTGGAGAGTATAGAATTGAAACCAACTGTTGACATATGCCTTCTGTTGACAGAGGAGACCAACTGAATATCACCCTCTAGTTTTATTTTCTTTAGCAACATATGTTGGTGGGAAAAATACATTCTGCTCATAGTATAACTATCAATCCTGCAAAGAAAAATGAACCAAAAATATGTAACAGTGGCAAGGAAAGCAAAAGCTGCTCAATTTACTCAAAGGGAGCACTATCCTCATTGACCCATCCAACATGGAAGTTCCTTGTGTCCTGTTGCAATAGCCGCCAGGTGAGTTATGAAGATGGGCAACGCGAATGACTTCTAGAATGATCCTCTGTGGTTAATTCAGGAGGTAGCTGGTAGAATCCCAGATTTTTTTAAAAATATTAATAAAATATGGGATTTAAAAAAGATAAGCACATCTTTAAAAAACAGGGTGTATGCTAATCCTGTGGCTGGAACAGTTTCCTATGGAAGCTGTAGACTGCCTTTGTTGTGGATTTAGTAAGGTCATACAGGTCATCTTGATGAATTAAATCTTGAGTTGGCAGACAGAAAATTGCAACAGGTAGTCTTCAACTTATGACTAGTCGCTTAATGATTTTTGAAGTTATAACTGTCTCCAAATATCCTACTTACAACCCTTCCTTGAGGTTACTACTGCTGCACGCACACACACCCTCCATGATTGCATTTGGCTTACTACTGGTTGCAGCATCCCATGGTCATATGAGTGAAATTTGCAACAGTTTTTTTTTTTGCCATTTTCCAGCAAAAATGCCCCCTGGATATGCCGGATTCACTTATTGACTATGTGGTTTATCTAATGGCCACATGATTTATTTATTTATTGGTTCGATTTATATGCTGCCCTTCTCTGGAGACTCAGGATGGCTTACAATGTGTTAAGCAATAGCCTTCATACTTTTGTATATACCTGCTTAGTAGGGCTTTCAGGGCCCCCTAAGCAGTGTTCTTTTTTATACAAAGTCAGCTTATTGCCCCCACAAACCGAGTCCTCATTTTACCTACCTCGAAAGGATGGAAGGCTGAGTCAACCTTGATTTGTTTAACAACCATGGTGACCCACTTTATGACCATCATAAAGTGGGTGCGTAACCTAGTCTGATCGAGGGGGTGGCTATTCTTATTTTTAATTGAATTAAATCAACATAGTAATGCTTGTAAAATAAATAATTGTGTTGAAATTCAACAAAATATCCTCGCCGTGGAGTAGATGTTTAGATGTCTGTTCTCAGAATTCCCTAGATTCATGGCTATTGCTGAGAATTCTGGCACTGAAGTCCACACATCTGATGGGTGCCAGATTATTTTACTAATTGTGAATGCATTTTTTTTTTGAAAAAAAAAAAAGTTTTTAAAAAAATCTCCAGATTAGTTCATCTATCTTAATTTTCAAATTAAGTTTGAAAATTAAGTTTGAGTTGATGATGTTACTCCTGTATTTAGGATTAGCTGTTCCTAATTTTAGCTGGAAGATTATTTCTCAATATGCCAGATCAAGTTGCTCTGGAAATATTCCTAAAATACAGAGGCTCCAAAGAGCCATGTTCTGTTGACAAGCCTGCATCAACGTCAGGAATGGAAACCTGAGAGATTTTTCAAGATGAAGTCAACCTCTGCACTGGGACAGAAGTGACAATGAAGTTTAACATTGGCTGGTAGACCATATTAGATTTCACTTGTTAGGTATGGGTGTAGGTACATGGTGTGCATAATGAATATGACAAAAAAAAAAAAAAACCAGCAAACAACTGATACCTTTGTTTCCTCTCCTCCTTTGATTACCATAATAGCAATAGCAATAGTACTTAGACTTATATACCGCTTCACAGTGCTTTACAGCCCCCTCTAAGCGGTTTACAGAGTCAGCATATTGCTCCAACAATCTGGGCCCTCATTTTGCCAACCTCGAATGGATGAAAGGTTGGGTCAACCTTGAGCCAGTCAGGATCGAACTCTGGGCAGTGGGCAGAGTTAGCCTGCAATACTACATTCTAACCACCAGGGCTCTTATAATTCAGAGGGACTAAGAAACAAATGCAGAGGGAGGTGCTTAGCCCTGTCTTTCTTCTGATGATGTACAGATAGTCCTTGACTTGCAACAGTTCATGTAGTGACCGTTTGAAGTTACAGCAGCACTGAAAAAAAGTGATTTATGACCATTTCTCACTCTTACGACTGTTGCAGCATCCCCATGGTCAAGTGATCAAAATCCAGATGCTTGGCAACTGACTCATATTTATGACAGTTTCGGTATCCTGGGAGGGCAGATTTGCTTAATGACAAGTTTTACCTAACAATTACAGTGGTTCACTTAACAACCATGGGGAGAAAAAGTGATAAAAATCAAACACAATACACTTGACAACTGCCTTGCCAAGCAATGGAAATTCTGGTCCCAACTATGATCCTAGGTTGAGGATCATCTGTAGGTTAATGCCGTGTGGCTGTTTTGTGGCCAAAGGAACCTTCAAAATGGCAGCAAGAGCTTAGAGGGCCCACTTGGTTTCCTTATTTATACAACATACCAGTTGCCGTTATTGAGATTTATTCTTAGGAGAATGTGTAGCTGCAATAAATAAGATTAGAAATTTAAAAATAATGAACACATAAACAGCAGCAATTGTTATATTTACTAGAAAGAAAGATGAGCCCCCCTTTTTAAAGATCATCGTCCATTAAGAAGGAATGATTCCACAGAGAAAAGTGGTCTGTTTCCATTGCGATGTTTTCAACAAATCTAAGATGACAGCTTCCTTTTAAATATTCAGGGGAATGGATTGAATGAGTCTTTCGGGGAAAATGCTCACTTCCAAACACTTTATTTTTCTTCCTTGCATTTTCCTCCAAGTGCACAAAGGTCTTCTCTCTCCCCCGCTCCCCCCCGCCCCGGATCAACTGAGTATTGGTCCATTGGTTGATTAACTTTTTTGTCGCCTGAGATTGTGAGCTGAGAGAGAGAGCGACAGGCCCAAAGTTATCCAGCCATCTTTCATGCCTAAGGCTGGAATAGAATGCTGAGTTTTTGCATTCTAACTTGATGCTAAATCACTAGACCAATCTCACTTTCAGATACTGTGGTCTCAAAACAGTGTTGTTATAGTTTTTGATTTTATCCTGGAAACAAATCAGAAGCTGGTGAAAACGATTTATCATACCTCAGAATTAGGGGTGATATTCACTTACCTTCACTACTGGTTCGCAAATGTGAGCACACGCGCTTGCTACGCTCACACATGCCTCCTCCACGCATGTGCAGAGCCTTCTGTGCATGTACAGAGGGTCAAAAACAGGACGTGATAACGTCTGGTGGGTGGGCGGAGCCTCCCGCCACCGGCACTACCGGATTGCGTGATCCTGATAGAGCTGGCTGAATTTCACCACTGCTCAGAGTACTGAGTTTTTTCTTTTTTTTTGAAAAAAACTTTAATTTAGTTTTGTTTTTGAAATATAGAAGTTGTGAATTAGCATTCACAACTTAGAATTCTTCTACATTTCAAGTTATATGATATGCTAAAAAAAACACATGATCAAGAAAGGTTAACATTTCTGAACATTCATCTCATCGCTTTTTAATATTACATAATCATGTACAAAATCTGAGATGAAACAAGCTTTTATGTGTTTGAGACAGATTACGCCAAAATATATAATAAAATGTGAATACTTATTCTGGAAAAATTATAAAATCAATAGAAGAGAATGTATGTAGCTCAGGGTTCATCTGTAGAATCCTTGGTGATCTCTGTGCTTGTTTGTTTGCAGATGTTTTATTGCCCAACTAGATAACATCATCAGTGTGAGTGTGTGATTTGCTCCCTATTTGTATACAGTAGCTTGTCCTGCCAATGATGATGGAGGTGTCCTTTTCTCCTTGATTAGGATATTATTTTCTGCTTGATTGTTTGTCTGTTATTAATCCCTGCTTATTTGGAATGTTGGTTGCCGGGGAAGATGTGTTCTGCTCTTTTTGTTTCCTTCTTGGCTTTTTTTATTGTCTCTTGAATGGTGTGCAAATATGATGTGTTCCTATGTGTCCATAGAAACCATGCCTATTATAATCCATGTCATAAGCCATGTTTTATAGTCTAAGATGGAAGTCAATAACTTGAAAATCGCCAAGCCCATTCTTGCAGACCTCAGAGCTACTTCTGACTATAGTTGCTGAAAACTGATGGCATATTTTCCATGTTTTGAGATAGGAAAGGCCTGAAATATATCTCTATATTAGAGTATTAAAAAAAAAATACCTTACATCTATAAATCAGACATTCTTGTTCTTGTCTACTGAGGTTTACTTTCTGTGTTCACTAGTCTTCCTCCAAAATATAACATTTTTTTTTTTTTTGCTACACCCTGAAAAGGCTGTGCTGTACAAGGCACCCAGTTGTAATTTATTTGACAGATTGCAGTTAAACTAAATTGTGGCTCAATGTGACTCTCTTCTTTTTTTCTTTTTATTTCTGGTCACAATATTGCAGGCATAATTTAAATTTTCCATCACTTGGTTTTCAACCTTAACCCTGTTTTCTCTGCAGAGTAGACAACTTTGGGCTCGGGCTTCTGCTTCAGACCAAACAGATCAAGCGTATGGTGTCATCCTATGTTGGAGAAAATGCAGAATTTGAGCGGCAATACTTGAGCGGCGAACTGGAAGTTGAGCTTACCCCACAGGTAAAATTCTAATTGCCTGTTCTTTGGACGAAGGCTCCTTATAATTATTGGCACCAACTCTTCCGTTCCAGTTGCAGGATTTCCACACCAGAAACTGAAATATTGGTTGTGTAACTACTGTACTGCATGACCCTTTTGTGTCTGTTGCAAGCCGTAAGGATCAGACAGCTTTCCTCATTTCTGGCATTTTGCAGAGGCGTCGACAGACTTCCCATCTTGGGAGTGTATTGAATTGTATCACTATAGGAATCAGGAAACCAGACTAGATTAGTCTTTGGCCAGATTCTGAATCTACCCTAAAGCCTGGTTTATGTTGGAACCTCAGACTACACACATAGTATAATGATTACCACACAGCAGTGGTGGGTTTCAAATTCTTTTACCACCGGTTCTGTAGGGGTGGCTTGGTGGGCGTGGCAGGGGAAGGATAGTGTAAAATCTCCATTCCCACCCCACTCCAGGGGAAGATTACTGCTAAATCCCCATTTCTTCCCAATCAGCTGGGACTTGGGAGGCAGAGAATAGATGGGGGAGGGGCCAGTCAGAATTTTTACTAGTGGTTCTCCGCACTACTCAAAATTTCCATTACTGGTTCTCCAGAACTGGTCAGAACCTGCTGAAACCTATCTCTGCAACACAATATTGAAATACTAGTAAGAAAACATAGATACTCACGTACCAGTTAAGAGTAGGAGAAGTAGGAGGTGTTTTTAATTGCATTTGCATTTTGCATTGGCAGTTACATTTTAAAAATCCGTTAAGTATTTGCAATGTTGTGCTTGACTGAACTGCACTCCATTCTTCATGCACGTTTAACTAGCTTTTTGAAAAAGATTGACTGCTTGTCTGCCAGCCAAACTTTCCTCCTACGCCAAAGTTAAGAATACAAGTAGCTCATTTCATATTTACCACCTTTTGTAATTTAATCTTTTCTTAGCTTACCCACACTGAGTAAATAAATTAACCACAGCCAGACAGGCTCTGGCTGCCTTCTCCTCAAAATCTTCAGATTCTGGGAATATTCCTATAAAATGAAGTAGCACGTTTGAAATGTGTTGTAATTAGCATGGTAAAGAAGCCATATTTGCCTGAAAAAACCTATAATAAATATAGCTGGGGAAATAGATTTTTAAAAACATTTTTGAGGAACAGTAAAATAAGGAGAAAAGTTTGGAAAGTACATGCCAGGTATTTCAGAAATGAAATATTGGTAACATTAAGACGACGATGATCATGATTGACCCTGCTAATCATTGACCTTATTTTATTATTGCTTAGTAATAAATTAATATTAAAAATTAGAAAGCTTGAATACCTCTGTTCCACATTTTTTAGGAATGAGTATTCTATGAAAATCCTCTTGCAGTATTCAGGCGCCATCTCAGTGGACTTAGAAAAGAAGAAAAGGTCCTTTAACAACTTTTGTCAAAGAATTGATGTACTATTATGAGTTACAGGCCTCCTTTACATCTGTCTTGTCTTGCCAGCCATTAAGCCTTTTGTTCTTTCTAGGGTACCCTTGCTGAGCGGATCCGAGCAGGAGGAGCTGGCATCCCAGCTTTCTTCACCAGTACGGGGTATGGGACATTAGTGCAAGAAGGAGGATCTCCAATCAAATACAACAGCGATGGCACTGTTGCCCTGGCGAGTGAGCCAAGAGAGGTAAAATACCTGTGGATTTGAATGAGGTTGTGAATGAGGGGGGTGAGCACAAGTCTTTTTGAAACTTTTGAAAGTTAAGGCAGATTCAGGACGTAACACACTTTGCCAGTAATATGATAGCATGATTTGAAGCAGGGGTGGGCTTCAAAAATTTTAGCAAGGGGTTCTCTGCCCAGTTGCTGGGTGGGCATGGCCATGGTGGGTGTGGCCTAGTTGGCTTCCTGCCCCACGGTGGGGCAGGAAGTTTCCCTCCCCAGGCTCTGGAGGCTTTCCTTGAGCCTCCAGGAGGGCGAAAACAGCCTCCGGAGGCCCTCTGGAGGCTGTAAACGGACCTTCCCGAACTTCCGGTAGGCCCGTTTTTCTCGCCCCCTCTGAGCCTCCGCATACACCCTGCGCTTACCTGCATCCAAAATGGGCCGCGTGGGGACTCCTGGGAGGGGTGGGGCAGGGTGGGAGGGGCCAGGAGTGGGATTTGGGGGTTCTCCGAATTGCACGGAATCTTAGCTAGAGGTTCTCCTGAACCCCTGCAAACCCCTATGAGCCCACCCCTGATTTGAGGCCTGTTCAGGAAAACAAAGTGGAATAAGTCCTAACTTGGTGCAATATATTAAGCAGATTATAAATCCACTCTGCAGATCATATTGTGTTTCTGATTTTATTCAGTCTGCACATTTGATTTCCAGTTTTCATTACCGTCAATGGTATTTTCACTCCATTTCTGCTGATGATTGTATTAAATTGTAGCGTGAGCTGATAATGTAAAGAGAGCAAATCTTTTCAAATTTTTTTTAAATTTTCTCCCTCCCCTTTTTTTTAAAGGTGAGGGAATTTGACGGTCGACATTACATTATGGAAAAATCAATTACAGGAGATTTCGCATTAGTAAAGGCGTGGAAGTCTGATCGTGCTGGAAATATTATCTTCAGGTATGGCATGTTCACAGAGCAAGCATGTTTTTAACTTTGCTTTCAAAGAGTTTTCTGGGAAATATGAACATTCTACATCCGTGATGGCGAACCTGTGGCACGCAGAGCCCTCTCTGCGAGCACACGAGCTGTCGCCTCAGCTCAGCTCCACCGTGCATGCGTGTACCCCTCCCGCCGGCCAGCTGGTTTTCGGGTCTCTGCCAAGCATGCACGGGGGATGGGCGCAGACGTGAGGAGTCGCATGCGCATGCGTGGGGGTCATGCATGTATGCACAGGGGTCGGGGCGCATGTGGGGGAGTCATACACATGCACAGGGAGGGGTCACGCGCGCATTGCCTTATGGGGGTGTGCATGCGTGCTTTGGGCACTCCATGACAAAAAGATTAGCCATCACTGTTCTACATCTTAGACGAATTTTTTTGGGGGGTTTCTGTTAGGATGCATATTTTAATTATATGCAGCAAGAGGGGAGGCCTAGTTGTTCAGCTCAAATAATTTATTTTGTGTTCCAGTTTGCTATTTAAAAGATATTTAGTCCCCTACTAGGACAATGTGAGGAGTTAAAAGACCGTAAAAATGAAACAAACTTTTAAAAACAAAACAGAAGAAAAAAACAGCAGCAGTATATTTTAGTACTGAGTGCAGAGTCTATAGCCCTAGAATAGCAAGCTGCTCTCCAAAATTGTCCAGATCTTTCCAGAACCCCAGCACCTTTCCAAAAGCTCATATCAAATGGAAAATTACAGGCAGTCTTTGACTTATGTCTGTAATGGGGGCTGCCCATTATGGCTGTAAGTTATAATGTTCATAAAGTGGGTCACCATATGACCAATTATATAACTTTTTTACAGTAGTTGTCATTAAATAAGGTCATTAAGCAAACCAGAGACCCAATTTGTTCCAGTGGTTAAAGCACCAGGCTAGAAAGCAGGAGACCTTAGCCATAAAAGCTGGACAGGTCATTCTCTCTCAGCCCAGCTCACCTCACAGGGTTGTTGTTATGGGGAAAATAAGAGGAGGAAGGTGTGCTGGATATGTTTGGTGCCTTGAGTTATTTGTAAAAATAATAAAGCTGAGATACAAATAAATAAAATAAATTGTTTGCTACGTGTAGGGTGTGGCTGACAACTGGAAATCAATGTCAGTTTTTGAAAAAAAAAATAAATTGCGGATACGTAACGGGGTGAGAATAGGGGTGTCTAACTTCGGAACCAAGTTGTAAAAACCTTTCGAGGAGTTTCCAGGTTTCCACTGTTTTAGCCTGCTCATTTCTGCATCTGAGTCTCATTCATTTTTGGAATGTATTCACCGGCCTGCCATTGAGAATCCAAGTATGGCCTTACAGCAGGGGTGGGCTTCAAAAATTTTAGCAAGGGGTTCTCTGCCCGGTTGCTGGGTGGGCGTGGCCATGGTGGGCATGGCTTAGTTGGTCTCCTGCACCACAGCGGGGGGGGGGGGGGGGCATTTTTGCCCTCCCCGAGCTCCGGAGGCTTTCCTCGAGCCTCTGTGATGGCGAAAACAGCCTCCCCAGGCTCTGTAGGCCAGAAACGGGCCCATTTCTGGCCTTCCCGATCTTCCGGTAGGCCTGTTTTCCGTCCTCCCTGAGCCTCCGCGCGCGCCCTGCACTTACCTGCATCCAAAACAGGCCCTGTGGGGACTCCTGGGAGGGGAGGGGTGGGCAGGTTGGGGCGGAGCGGGGCCAGTCAGTGGTATTTGGGGGTTCTCCGAACTGCACAGAATCTTAACTAGAGGTTCTCCTGAACCCCCAGCAGCCTACCCCTGCCTTACACCCTGAAGAAGGTTGTGCATTCCTGCCCTAAGTTACGTCCCAGAATCCTTTGAAGCAATGCAGGAGCTTCTGTCTCTGTGTAGTGAGGCTGCTTTTCAAAAGAGTGTCTATAGTAAGAAAGCTAATACAGCAAAGCTAGGCTCTTCCTGCTCATCATGACTAATGAGGGCAGGAGGTTGAAACAACTTCCCCATTTATGATAATGGTTGTCTTATTCCAGCAGTTTATTCCTTCTGTCCCTGTGTTGGCAGTGCTGCCTGTCTAAGGCTGTTTTTAAACAGCAAAGACTTTCCTCTGGTTTTTGCTCTACCATATTGAACAAACCCATGAAACAAAAATAAAACCACAGGAGGGCAGTAGAAGGCTGCAGCTTTCAGCTTTGCATGAGCTGGAGCTGTAGGTGCTATTAAAAAAAGTAACATTCTTGGCTTAATGTTAAGCCTTTTCTTAATATTAAAGAGATGTATGCCATCATTCGGAGACATGCTGTCAAAAACACTGACATCCATATGAATTCAGTGCTAGCATTGATAAAAAGCAGTTATTATAAAGCTGTGTATCCAGGACAGATAACGTTAGCAAAACAGAAGCAGAGAACCAGTTTTTTTTTTGCTGATGATGGTATAAAAACTTCTCCCCCTCCCCCAAATAATGTCAAGATGGTAAATAGACTGAGAGCAGAATTAAGAATTAAAATTTAAAACTATGATCTTTTCTTCCAGGTAGAAATGTCGTTATTCTTTCTAAAACTCAGGAATAATGTAACTAGTTTCAGGACTGTTCCCAAGTGTTATAATTCATAATAGAGATAGCCTATGAGATACCTACTGGTTATGGGTGCAACCCGTTGTGCCCACATGACACCCCTCCTGCACGAGCTGCACTGGCTCCCAGTGGTCTTCCGGGTGCGATTCAAGGTGTTGGTTACCACCTTTAAAGCGCTCCATGGCACAGGACCCGGGTACCTTTGAGACCGTCTTCTGCCACCAATAGCCTCCCACCGGCCAGTCCGCTCCCACAGAGAGGGTCTCCTCAGGGTGCCATTGGCCAAGTCATGTCGGCTGGCAACACCCAGGGGGAGGGCCTTCTCTGTGGGAGCCCCAGCCCTGTGGAATGAACTGCCCCCGGAAATTCGTAAGATTTCTGACCTCCGGGTATTTCGCTGCGCACTCAAGACCCTATTGTTCCGCCAGGCTGGGTTAGCAACATAATTTTAAATTGGATGTTTTAAATTTTGGGGGTTTTAAATTAAGCCAAATTTATTTAATACTTTTAAATTATTTTAAATTGATGTCTATTCTGTTTTTAAATAGGCTGTACACCGCCCTGAGTCCTTCGGGAGAAGGGCGGTATAGAAATAAAATTATTATTATTATATTATTATTATCTTCATCAATACTCAGAGAATTGTAAATTAGAGGGGGTTAGAGGGATGTTGTAGGCATAGTAGGCCCTCTAAACCAGTGTTTCTCAGCTTGAAGAGCCGTGGTGGTGCACTGCAATATTGTAGGCTAATTCTGCCGACTGCCAGCAGTTCAATTCTCACCGGCTCAAACCTTCCATCCTTGCAAGGTCGGTAAAATGATCCAGATTGTTGGGGATAATATGTTGACTCTGTAAACTGGTTAGAGTGGGCTACAAAGTACTGTGAAGCAGTATATAAGTCTAAGTGCTATTGCTATTAAGATGTGTGGTCTGCAACTCCCAGAATTCCTCAGCCAGCATTATTCTAAACAAATCCATGTTTAATGTAAACCATCCAGAACCAGAATATTTCGAGTTAACTCTCTCCAGCCTCTATCTGAGAATCACCAGTGAGGGAGATTCACCAGGACATTTCTAGTCAAATTCCTGCTATCAATTCTTGTAATATTGATTGAAAATCAGGCATTGTTATAACCAGGGGTGGGTTCTACTTACTTTTACTACCAGTTTGCAATGGGAACGCGTGTGCGCAGATCATCAATTATGACATCTGGGTGGGTGGGCGGAGCCTCCCGCCGCTTTTACTACTGTTTCTAAAGAACTGTACAGAACTGGGAGCAGCCCACCACTGGTTATAACCTAAGAAACCATTAGAGGTAGTACAGGCATGGCTGGCAGAGAACATGCCTCTATCTGCTATTTATTTGTTAGATTCATGTTTCATCTTTTCTCCAGAAGTTTTATGGCTTACATGAAGATCATAGGTGGATTTCAGCAGGTTCTGACCAGTTCTGGAGAACTGGTAGCAGAAATTTTGAGTAGTTCGGAGAACTGGTAATAAAAATTCTGACTGCCCCGCCCCCACCTATTCTCTGCCTCCCAAGTCCCAGCTGATCCAGAAGAAATGGGGATTTTGCAGTAACCTTCCCCTGGAGTGGAATGGGAATGGAGATTTTACAGTATCCTTCCCTTGCCACGCCCACCAAACCACGCCCACCAAGCCATGCCACACCCACCAAGCCACACCCACAGAACTGGTAGTAGAAATTATTGAAACCCACCACTAATGAAGATCTGATTTCATTCTATCCCAATCACAACTTGGCTCAGAGATAATGACTTATCCAAAATGATCTAATGAATTTCCATGCTTGAATCTCAATAGCTTCACTCATCTAATATTTTAACCACTATGGTGGTTAAAATACACTAACACCCTCTGTGCTACAACTACAGAATGAACATTTCTTATGCATTTGTTCATAAATATACAGTCAAAGGGGAATCACACATTCTTGTCTTACTCTCTATTCTAAGTTGAATCCATTCACTAAGCATGCCCCATGGAAGAATGGGACAGTCCCAAGGGAGACTTTTTGAGATTTTTGGCTTGTTTTCAATAAAAAACAGTGGAGGGATACATTCGCCTAAGGGCTGCAATGTTTGCTTAATGACCTCAGCAATTGGTTCCAGCCACGTGGATGCCTCGAAGTACGATCATTATGATTTATGATGGATAATCTGGGCTCTATTACAGTTCTCAATGTTGAGGACTACCTGGAAATGTGATTAATTGAGAACTATTGAAGATAAGACTGAAAACAAGGATAACACTTTTACCATTAAAACTTACTCTGTTATTGTTTTTGAGGGGGACACACCTGTTCAGCTTGTATGTAAGCAATCGATGCCTGAAGGACAGAAGGAAGTCCCTTTACTGGCTATGTTCAAGCAGAAGCTAGATAGCAAAGTGGGTTTGCTTTGGTTGGAATTTCTGGACCTGAAGGCTAATCCCCTTTCAACTCCGAATTGATTATGCTCTGAATTTTGTTCTGCTAATGTTTCTTGACATTATAGAAAAGGATAACTGCAGCTCTATTAAGCATACATTGCCCTCTTTCTTTTCAAACAGGAAAACTGCGAGAAATTTCAATCAGCCTATGTGTAAAGCTGCCAGAACAACAGTGGTAGAGGTAAGGCAGAAAAGTTATTTCCAGCCCCAGCAGTGGTTCCTGGGCTAAATAGGATTTATCGTTCTTATTCTGCAGCTTTTTGAGAGAATGAGGTTGTTGTCTTTGCAGCATCTTCTTCCATACCAAATATCTTCAGACATGGTTGGCTCCTCTTCCCTTGTTTTTGCTTTTACATCAAAATCAAAATCCTCTTTTGCAAGCACAGCCTTAAGCAAAATTCGGAAGAGATGAGAAGATGTGAGAGTGCAGTATCCCCTGCTTTCGTTTGACAAACGTATAGAAAGACCTACAGGCCTTGGTGAATTGATGCATGACATATCTATATATTTAAAGCCGAGCAGTTGAAGAGAATGGGGAATTGCTGATACTGTATCTGTGCGCAGCAGAAAGGGAATTAGCAGAGGCATTTATATAATCCTAAAAAGCTGAATCCTTGTTTCCAAGAAAAGGATTGCTCCTTTTTTTTTTTTTTTTTGGAAGCCTGAGCTTTTATCTTTTGCATGCAGGAACATAGATCCTGTTTCTACTAACTCTTTCTCTATAAATGTATTTAGTAGTTGCCCCTCTAGAAACAGTTCTAAGTGGTGTACAGTACAATATAGCTAAAACAACCTTGTATGTAAAGATTTCCTCAAGTTGAACTGGACACTTGATGACAATCGGACACATATGGATGGTTGTCTGTCATTTTTTCCTGGGTGTCAAGGTTCCAAATAATAGGTCCCATTCAATAAGAACTCCGAGGCAGGCAAGATCCTCAAAGAACATTTTGTTGGACATATCAAATTGGCAACTTCCTGGTGAAAAACTGGCTCTAAATTGGCGCCGGTTCCTCCCCTAATTAAAAGTAAAACTTCATTATTCCCGCCCCCAGAGTCTCAGCCATATGATCCAATCAGCATACAGTCCAGTTGCGAGATGGCCTCAGTCTCTGCCCTGCACAAACGTCCTTGATTCCCAGGGGAAAGAATTTTATTTAGGCTACACACCCCAGCTAATCTCTCTACACACACACACCAGCCTCTTCACTCCAGGCTGTGTCAGCCCTGAAGCTGTGAGAAAAGCAACCTCCCTAGAAACTACACAAAAAGAAAATGGCCACTGTTCAGCCAACTTCAGGGTTGACACTGGGATTCTCGGGGGGCGGGGGGGCGCCCATACAAATGCTTACCAAGCTCAAACTTGCTTAGCTTCTGAACCTAATCGAAATTGTCTATGTGCTTCCATCAAAAAAAAGGCTTATCATGTTGTAAAGCTAGTCTTAAGGAAAAACTTGATGGGGGAGGAAGGGTTGGACAAAGTCAAATAGATGATCTGCTTATAAAGCTTGTCATCTATTAAATTCAGTGGCAGATAACCATTTAGGAAGTGAGGCTGTTGAACGTTGAACGACGGGTTGGTCTTTTTGTTTGGCCTTTTGATGTCTTCAACCAATCCTACAGCGGGAAGGACTTTCTGCCTTTGATCGTGGAAAGATGTAACATTTAATAAAAAACAGGATTAAGAACAGCCTTCACCAAGCTGGTACCCTTCAGATGTGTTAATCCTACAGGATTGGTAGCCCAATGCACCTGGACCAGGTTGAAGAAGAATTAAACCAGGAATCTCCTTGCACTCTGTATTTCAGTCCCCGTATCTGCCTCTACTCCCTCTATCCTTTTCATCCTCCACTCTGTTTTTCTTCCCCTTGTCTTCTCCTTTGTTATGTTCTTCGCAAATTGTGTGTTTTTTTCCTTGTCAGTGGAAGAAGCTAGAAAAACAAAGGTCTGTATTTTCCTTTGAGTTTTGACAGATTCAAGATGAATTTTGAGGATGCGGATTCTACACAGTGTAGAATTCTTTCACCCATAACTAATTAAATAAATGTAATTAAAAATCCTGCAATGTATCCCAGGTTGCTTAGCAACAGCTGTCCTGTTCCATTATTATTCTGTTCTCTCAGGTACAATGGATCTCATTACGGTGTGTGGCAGCATTGAATGAGTTCCACTTCTCACCTAAATATTGGTATTTACAGTTTTTATTGAATGTTTGAAGATTCTTAAAAAGGGTTTATACAATATAGTTTATTCAATCTTAATTTTCCTTTGTTTCAGGCTTCCCTTGTTTTCCAGAATTATAAGAATTTATTTCCCAAATGAATGTATAGGAAGCACGTTTTTCAGATCCCCAAAACAACTTAAAAAGAAGTCCATAAATTTATCTAATTCATATAATATTAGCCAGCACTTTTAGCATAAAACAACTTTATCAAGCCAGTTGGATTTCTGGGTCAAATCATCCCATTCAATTTTGATGTATTTTCTGTGCATCTGTTTGCTACATGTGCCCTATTGACTGCAGCCTATTGTCAATTATTTTTTCTAAACATTTGTAGAAAACAGTGCATTAAATGTACTATAACAAAAATGATAAAACCAGCAATGAATCTAGATTGCCAATTGAAGATTGATCAGATAAACCGCTATCAAATCCTTCCCAAGTTCCCAAGTTAGTGAGAATCTAGCTATTACAAGTACTATGAACTTAAACAAGGCTTGTTAGCCTTTGAAAGCTGGTAGAGGTATTTGAAATTTTGAAAACGCATTGCAGGTACTTATGAAAGCTGCTGCAGAGGAGAGGGAAAATTTATCCATATAACACAGTGAAGATATTAGGATCTTCAGTTACAAGACATATTTTCTGCTTCCTGCCACCTTTCTAGTTGCCTGTCCTCCACAGGTTTTCTGGCTATCTTACATTTGTTCTTTTGGAGGCACTTTAGTATCCTTCAAGCACTGGGTTCTAGGTGCTCATCTTTTTAATTTTCTGAGAAAGCTTATAGGTCCATTTACATGATGATGGTGGAGGCAGGCACTTTGTAGAAGGACTTTTAAAGTAATAATAGAAGGAGAAATGGAAAGAGTCTTTTGAACACCCAGTACAGGTAGTCCTCAACTAATTAAAAATCACTTAATAACAATTCAACGCTACGACAGCCTTGGAAAAAGTGACTTAGAATCTATACTTGCACCACTTCTAGGATTGCATGATTGCAATTTGTGTGCTTGGCAACTGGTTCAGATTCAGGACTAGTTGAAGCATCCTGAAGTCACGTGATTGTGATTTGTGACCTTTTTGCTGAATTCTGACACTTGTACTTGTTGAAATTCTGGTCCCAATTATAGTCTTAAGTCACCTATATATGGAAGTAAGAAGATGGTACAGGTGGAATATTTGGAAAGACACAGTAAAGAAGCCACTTTCATTCATTGGGATCATTCATTGGATGTTATTACCTAATTATAACTTAATGGAAAGAATTGGTAGAATTGCAATATTGAAAAAGTGGTTGAGAACAAAGAGGTTAAGAACCTGTAAAATTTCCAGATACAAACTGATAAGCATTTAACTCATTATAAGCCATACATGACAGCAGTTATGAAGAAGCAAGCATGTATAATTGACACTACAACCATTGGAAATAGAAGGGAAATAGTTGGGAAAGAACTAGAAAAGAGATCTGGTTGGGTCTAATGGTGATGCAACTGGCCTAGGAGACTGTGAAATTTAGTCTCGCCTTGGTATGAGTGCCAGCTGGGAGACTTTGGGCCAGTCACAGTCTCTCAGCCCAACTCACCTCAAAGGGTAGTAGTTATGGGGAAAATAGGAAGAGGAAAGAGTACTAGATATGTTCACTTAATTAATTAATAGGAGGATAAAAAAAATCATTTAAAAAGAACTAAAAAATAAGGAAATATAAAAATCTTTAAATAGAATGAATGTGGAAATTAGTATTGGTGCCAAGAGTAGTAGATGCATTTGGTGCCTACCAAAAGCAGCTAAACACAATAGAAATGGATAGAATTTCAATCCAACAATTATAGAATTGAAGGGTGCCACATTGCTACAATATAGTTAGCTATCCTAGATCTCTGACAAGACACCACTAGTCAAAAGTACCATATCCAGTCAGTCAGATCTATCTGGTAGTCTGTATAAATGGCAATGATGGTGATGATGATGATGATAGTAATAGTAAAAAATATAAAAAGAGAGGGCAGGTTAAGTACAGAATGTGTAAACCTGGAGGAAATCTACAATCTTTTTCATAATGTTTTCATATGATTTAGTACAATTTTCACCAATTTGTTTGCATATGTGTTAGGAGTAACAGAAGTTGGTTCTGGGACTTGTATGCTCTATAGAATTGAGACACTTGGTTAGGAAAGGCTGATTTATTATTAAGCCTGTGCCTTCTTGTCCAGCTCTGTATGGAAATCTTTTGGGATGGTGAGAATATTTTATGGGGGCCCAAAGGTGCTTTTTTTCAGGAGGCAACTGGACTTCTTGTTTTTCTTTGAAGACGTTCGCTTCTCGTCCAAGAAGCTTCTTCAGTTCTGACTGGATGTTGGGGAATGGAAGGATTTATATTCCTTGCAGGCAGCTGGTCATTTGCATTCTTTTAGAAAGTTATTGACGAGCTCTCTGCAAGAAATATAAATCCTTCCGTTCCCCACTATAGACTCAGAGCTGAAGAAGCTTCTTGGAGGAGAAGTGAAACGTCTTCAAAGAAAAACAAGAAGTCCGGTTTCCTCCTGAAAAAAGCACCTTTGGGACAACCATGACCTGGATGACTGAAAATCTCCATAGACATTTTATAGGGGCACTCACAGAATGAATGGCATGCATTATAACTTGATGATACTAAGTTATCAGAGTTAAACAGATATTTACTACAAACAGACTCACTGGGTTTACTGGGAACAGGTGCTTCCTGGGAACATTGTATATTCTCTGGCCTGAAGCACAGGTTTTAATCCAGGAATTCCAGGTCATAGATTGGATTGCAGTAGTTAAGGCTGTACCCTTACTAGATATGTTTTGTGGTAAAGAATTATCTGGTTTTTATCTCATTTTATTTAATTATGTTTTCTTTTTCAGACCTTAAAGGTGTTGTTATGTGAACGACTTGTGAATGATGAATTGATGATTTTCGAGAATAATAACATTCATTGACTTCCTTTTCTGCTTTGGTTTTCTGTTGTGTAGTGGTCACTAGTGGGTAAAGGCAGAATGGAAAAATAGTATTTGAGGTTTTGTGTCTGTCAAATTGATAACTGCACATTTGTTTTTTTTTCACTGATCATCACTCTGGTTTGTTGTCTCTACTTCTTCTCATCTGAGGCCATATGCAACCATTTGCATCCATATGTTTATTAGGAATAAATGGTAGAGACCTTAGCGGTAAATGGGCCATAGCAAGTAATTAGTATTGGGAAAGACTGCAGTAATTTAGGCGGTAATTCATTGGCATGTGCTTAAATGATATTTTGAAACTGTAAGACTTCTTACTTTCATGAATTCTATTCTAGTGTCGCCCGGTGGCCCTGTTCTGGATCACCCATGCACTTCTGGGACAAGGGGGGTTAGGTGATCATTTTCAAGGCCGTGCAGAGGAATTTGTTCAACACTTGAGGGACAAAATCTCTCGGATTCATTCCCAGTTACATCCCATGTGTGGAGCAGTGAAAAGAAGGACTAGGGGGGACATGATAGCAGTGTTCCAGTATCTCAGGGGCTGCCACAAAGAAGAGGGAGTCAAGCTATTCTCCAAAACACCTGAGGGTAGGACAAGAAGCAATGGGTGCAACTAATCAAGGAAAGAAGCAACTTAGAACTAAGGAGAAATTTCCTGACAGAACAATTAATCAATGGAACAACTTGCCTCCAGAAGTTGTGAATGCTCTACCACTGGAAGTTTTTAAGAAGAGATTGGATAACCATTTGTCTAAAATGTATAAGATTTCCTGCCTAAGCAGGGGATTGGACTAGAAGACCTCCAAGGTCCCTTCCAACTCTGCTATTCTATTCTATTCTATTCTATTCTATTCTATTCTATTCTATTCTATTCTATTCTATTCCATTCCATTCCATTCCATTCCATTCCATTCCATTCCATTCCATTCCATTCCATTCCATTCTCTGAACAATCATCCTCAAATTACTCTTTTGATGTATTGGGATGACAACTCCCATAATTCATTGCAAGAACAGCTTTGGACTGTGTGTGCTAATATTTCTGAGCATTGTAGTTCTAGCACATCTGGAAGAGAGGGCTAAATAAGGGAAAACTGCACTCTCCTTATTCTTGTCGAAATCATGTGGTATACTGCACTAAAGTCTGTCTTTATCTTTCCTATTTTCCTATCATTCCAGGTAGAAGAAATTGTTGATGTAGGGTCATTTCACCCCGAAGATATCCATGTCCCCAAAATCTACGTCCATCGTCTCATCAAAGGGGACAAGTATGAAAAAAGAATTGAGGTAACTCCTAGGTGGGTTTGGAACTGGTCTGTGGCTATGGGTGTGCTTGCAAAATGTTTCCACTTGCAATGTTAGTTTGGATGTGGGGATTATAGCGAGAATCGAGGAACAGTTTCATGTGCTGAGTCTCCAGAGACAGGTAATTTCCTATCCCTCTCACCTCCAGACATTCAGTACAGGCAAATCTGATCTATGCTTTATACAAAATCATGTGTGAGACAGTAGATAACTTAAAAAGTCATTTCCTTATAGAACGATGGTAATCTTTGATTCCCTTACGGGGGGCCATCACTCCTAAGGAATAACTTTGATCCGGGGTTATATTTTAGGGTATGTGATACATTAATTTGCTGATATTAAGGGGACCTCACTTTCAGATTGCTCTGAATTCTATGTATACTGTCTTGAGTTCTGTGAAGGAAATTAGACCATAAATAGAAGCATCATCTGTTGTTGTAATCTTACTTGTTGCAGTTGCAGTCAAATGATTGGTTCATAGCAGATGTGTCTCTGGCACTGTTTTTTTCCCCCTTTTTCTTAAGAGAAGCTTACAAAAGGAAGGGATCCATGGGATGACAGCCGAAACAGTTTTGCTCTCTCTTTTTATATTTGGTAGTGCCAAAAATGAGAGCCAGTTTGGTGTAACAGTTGGGATACCAAGTTAGAAACTGAGAGACTGGGAGTTCTAGTCCTGCTTTAGGTATGAAGCCAGCTGGGTAAACTTGAGCTAGTCGTTCTTTCTCAGTCCTAGGAAAGAGACAACAACAACCCATTTCTGAAAAATCTTGCTAAGAAAACTACAGAGACTTGTCCAAGCAATCACCAGGAATCAATATTGACTCAAAGTCACACATCCACAAAAATGCCAAAACAACAGCTCTTCACATTCCCAGTTTGAGCCTAGTTTTCTAATATTGCTTTTCTTCCTTCCTTCCTTCCTTCCTTCCTTCCTTCCTTCCTTCCTTCCTTCCTTCCTTCCTTCCTTCCTCCCTCCCTCCCTCCCTCCCTCCCTCCCTCTCTCCCTCTCTCTCTCCCTCTCTCCCTTTCCTCCTCCTTTCTCTCTCTCTCTCTCTGTTTCTCTGTCTCTCTCTTATTTTATTTTATTTATTTAGCCTTCACCTTTGCGTCAATGTTGACTCCTGGTAACTGTCTGAGCAAGTCCCTGCAGTTTCTTTATTTCTTCACATTCAGTCAAAAGGTCTCTGTGTCGATTTGCCATCTTATTATTCAGCTGCATCTTCAACTGCCCTTCACCTTTCCTTTTCTTCGGGTCTGTTTTCTTTCACCCTTGTGACTCCTCCTTCTTTTTGTCCTCTTGTTTTGAAATGTTTTATATAGCCTGGATCACAGTTGCAGCTGGGGTTGAATTGGGTTTACTTACTTTTTTTTCATCCTCCTAGGGATCTTTCTTGGTAAACAGACAATGAAGCTTCAAGCTTCCCTATTTACCGAGTTGTGGGATGTTGAGGGGAACAGGAACTGCGGAAAGGGTCTATAAAAATAGCATCCATCTATAAGGTGCTGATTGCATTTTCAGATAGAAATTATATTGGACGTAATACAGTTTTCCACTGCCTGCAGGGTGAGGATTCTGGTATAAAGCAGATTTAACTAGGGAGCCTGGCAAAGAAAGATAGCCTTTATCTTATTAAAGGAGGAATAATTGCAGTCATATATTTGGCCCAATTGCAGTTGTGTGAGTAAAATAGCCAAAGAAATGCCTAAATTCTCTTTATCCCATTTCCCCCCTCCCAATAACTGTGTTAAGATATTTATGCTCTTGATGTTCAAATTTCAAATAAGAAGCAGAGGCCAAGATAACAAGCTGCGGATTTAGACCAGAAGCCGTGTCCCTGGACCTCACAGTAGCAGCCTGGCCATTGATCCACAGCTCTGCAAAATGCATATAGGAATATTCAGGTCTCTCGCATACACTGTTCTTGCAACTGTGGAGATGATAAAACTTCATTTCCCCTTTTGCAACCCCTGTTGAAAATTCATTCTGCCAAATAAAACCATCTGTCTTGAATAAAGCACTGATTTATTCCACCAGGACAACAGATTATTTTTTTTAAAAACCAACCAGCAGCAGTCCAAAAATTATTATTATTACTTTTAAAACAATCCTTGGCTTGTATTCTGTAAGTCCTTGCAATAATCAATGAGGATTATTTTGCTTATTTTGATTATTTGGCTCTAGGTTACCTTGTCAATATAAATCACTTTAAGTTGAGGATTGCTCAAAGTTTGTGACAGCCTTCTTGGGACCTCATGTAGACAAACATCTGTGCAGGTGTTGTTTGTTGCAAAATACACATTGCACAATTCTCCTGTTTGGTTCTCCTAGCACAGGGGTCAGCAACCTATGGCTCTGGAGCTGCATGTGGCTCTTTCACCCCTCTGCTGCGGCTCCCTGTCACTCAAGATATGCATCACAACTGCCAATGTGTGACACCAGCCAGCATGCAATTTACTGAGCTTTTCAACCCTGGTAGGCCAAACATGAATAAATCCAAAAAAAGAAAACTTTCCGAAGAAAACAGAACTTTTAATTCAACTACATGTGCTAGTTTTGTAGCCGCTCAAGAAATAGTCAGGCATGGGAAAGGTTTTGTGGCTCCCGGTGTTTTCTTTTCTGTGGGAAATGGATCCAAATGGTTCTTTGAATGTTTAAGGTTGCAGACCCCTGTCCTAGCACTTTCAGTAATACTGTTAATAATAGTAATAATAACAATAATAATGGTATCAAACATCCAACTAATATTTGATTCATTCCTGAGTTGATCTCCGCACTGAGGCTGGAAGATTTCTTACCCTATGTAAAGAACTTAGTGGATGGCATTGATAGAGAGAGGGATATCTATTACCAAAGCAAATAAGATAAACGTGGCTTAAGTCCAGTGGTGGGTTGCTCCCGGTTCGGTCTGGTTCTTGCAAACCGATAATAATGGCGGTGGGAGGCTCCACCCACCTGCCCAGACCTCATCATGGACGATCTGCGCATGCGCAGAAGCGTGGGTGTGCACGTGTGCTCCCGTTGCGAACCGGTAGTAAAGGTAAGTGGAACCCACCCCTGCTTAAGTCTATACATAGATAGAGATTTCTGAAAATGCAGACACAAGAACATAAAAGAAGGAGGAGGGAAACACATTCAGACTTGCAAAGATTCTCTTACTACACCCATTCTAATAAGACTAGTGTCAACTTGCAAAGCTTTCAAGTTGCCATGAGCAGGAGGGAGAGTGAACTGATAGAGCTGATTGATTTCCCTAACTGAAGTGACATTCCATACATGCTTTCTTAAGGAGGGTGTTGGATTTCACAGCCAGCCAAAGTGGTTAATTGGAGAACGTGATTTATGACATGGCCAGGAAGGAGGGGAGAGACAGGGTCATAGGGGAACGTAAATCTACATAGGATTAGTTCTAACTGCATCCGAATATTGCCGAAATGGTGCTCCTAATAAATGACTGTATTTCTTTTGAAGTTTGGCTCATGGCTCATGAATTAATTAGGGCATCTTTCGGAAACTTCACAACTAGTTTTAGGCATACGTAATGTCTGTTTCTTCATCTGCTCTACTTTGTAGGATTGACATCTCTTCTGTCTCAAAGTAGTTCATTGCAGGGCTTGTGTTGAGCCATAACAAATATTACTTGGCATTCATTTTGGAGAACGAGGGTGTGTGTTGTTCTTTGTACATGTATTGTATTTCCTTTCTGAGCTGCCATTGCAAATATTACTCTTTAACATATGTTCTAGACTTGTACTAGACTTAAAGAGTAATATTTTGTAATAATTATTAAAAGGAGACGAGGCCCTGCACCAGCCCTGTCTTGATGCAGAAGTTGAAAAAGGTTTTATGTTTGCTCTATTGTCTGTGTGAATAGGCTTGGATTGCTTAGAAAAAGCTTGTTGAGGGGAGGAGAGAAGTAGAGTCTACATTTGGATAATTCTTAGGAATTATTCATTTTGCGTGCCCCTTGCAAATCACATACTCACTTCAAACACTGGCATTTCATCTTGAAAAAATGATGGAACAGTTGATGAGAAAGGACTGATATTGTGGCGCATTACTGGATTATTATTATTATTTATTAAACTTGCATGTCACCCAACTCCCAATGATTTGGGGGCAGCCTGCAACAATCAAATAAAGAAATTGCAATAAAAACAATAAAAGCTGGCAAGTGTGACAGACCAGATGGAATGAAGCGAAGAGCCTCATTCTCCCTTGCCAAAGGGCCTGGATGAACAACTAAGTCTTCGCTGCTCTTCTGAACAACAGCAGAGACCCCATCCAGATCTTCAGGGGAACCTCATGTAGTAGTGCTGCTATAGACAAAGCACCCTTCCGTGATCCCAATAGATGGCATGGTTTAATTAAAGGAATTGGAGCGTCCACCCCGATCAGATCAAATCAGTCAAGCAGATGCTATGGGGGACAGGCAGTCTTCAAATAACAAGGCTCTTTGCCATGTTGGGCTTTATTCAAGCACCTTGAATTGTGCTACTGCCTTCTGGACCAATTGAAGTTTCCTGATGGTTTTCAAGGGCAGCCCCATGTAGAGTGCACAACAGTAGCCAGGCCATGAGTTGACATAGGGAAGGGTGAAGGTTTCTCCTCCTCCCATTTTATTTACTTACCTACATTGATTTATAATATTCTCCAGATGTTCTAAATTAAATTGCACAAAGTAGCTTTACTGAATATGGATTTTTTTATACGTACTCCCACCCCCTTTCAACACATCCTATAGGAAATAATCATAGTTCATGGATTTGTCAGTTCTTGGAACAGAGTGTTGCCTTTTAATAACATATAGTGTTGTACTTAGTTGTCCCAATTTGGTACTAAATCCATAACACAGCAGTGATTATGGAAAGCAGAAAAGAATACACACTAACAGATAATTTTGAGCTTTTATTATTAGTGTCAGCTTCTGTTTTTATTGCTTGATGGTCACCACTCGGACTCAAGGGAGGAGAGTGGAAAACAAATGTGAGTACTGTAAATACTGTTGAGCTCAGCAGTGATATTAAACTTGCCTGCTTTGTTCTTTGATCTTAGAATAGGGAAAGCACTTAGACTTATATACCGCTTCACAGTGCTTTACAGCCCTAAGCAGTTTTACATATTGCAGTCAGTATGTTGCCCCCAACAATTTGGGTCCTCATTTTACCGATCTTGGATGGAAGGCTGAGTCAACCTTGAGCCTGGTGAGATTTGAACTGCCAAATAGCCGGCAGTCAGCAGAAGTAGCCTGCAGTACTGCACTCTAACTGCGCCACTGCGGCTCATAAGAATGATTTACCCTTGATATTTCATTTGTATGAAATCACCCCTAATCTAACTAATCAATCAATCTATTGACTATTGACTTCTATCAATTAGAAAACAAGCCCTCCCACCTGAACAGTCGTAGGCTAGAGAGCAGCCTAGGCACCCATTCCTTGACTAAGTCTGAATTTCTGTGTACTACAATGGTGTAAACAGGATAAGACCCTCTGGAAATATCCTTAGTGTACAGCTGACTGTACTACTGATACAGGTCGTAGCATAAAGCAGAAACTTACTGTCTAAAGGCCCAGGGGTGCATGCAGCTCCCATACAACCTTCTGGGGATATTGAAAATTAATTAACAAATTCTGCAAGAGCACCCAATCACTTCCAATAAAGTCAGAATGAAGTATGAAGCCAGTTGAGTGACCATAGGCCAGTCATTCTCTGAACTCTAAGAAGGCAAATCACATCTTAAAAATGTTACAAAGAGAGCTGCAGGGGACATGTCCAGGCAATTCCCGGGAATCAAATTAACTTACAGTCAGGTACTCATGCCCAGAAATTATATCAGGAAGAGAAGTAAAATTCAGAGGTTTTCCTTTCAGGCTGAACCATGTAGCAAAAATTTGAAACCTGAGAAAAATTATGAATTTACCATACGTGGATTTTAAATGTGTGCGTATGTGTGCATATGTGTGTGTGATTTATTTTTTTTGGGCTATGTTTTAGGGTTGTTTTCTTTTTTCCTTTCTAAATATTATAGCATAGATGAAAGGGTAGAGGGTTAGGGTTATGCTGGGGTGAAATCTATTTACCTTCCTTACCGGTTCAGAAGCGCATGCACCGTGCACGCACACCTTCTGCGCATACACAAAACCTGTGCATGTGCAGAAGATAATGACACCCAAGTGGCGATTGCTACCGGATCGCCGAATCACAAGGAAAAATCGCTACCAGATTGGATGATCTGGTCTGATCTGGAAGCATTTCACACCTGGGTTATGCACTCTGACACGAGTGACATTGAACTGGCCACACCCACCCTGGCCCCCCAAGGTCAAACACAACCCTGATGCGGACCTCAATAAAATTGAGTTTGACACCCCTGATGTAATATATCTACTATAGAGAGAGAACATATTATATACTCTATAAAGTAAAAAGCAAGAGGTCTTGTCTCCTAACATGTTTAATTAATTAAAGTCTACTATTATGCCTCCGCTGTTAAGAATGCATGATATGCATCATCTCCTTGGTTGCATGATGATAATAGACATGAATAATGGCATTGTCAGCATTTGTTCCTCCACTTAGTTCAATCCAGATACTCTCTACTACATTCAACATTTAGCACAACTTTTCTTCCATTCTGTCCCTTTTGTGCAAAAATGTTGCCTATTATTAATTTTAATTAAATGCACATTTTAAAAAAAATCAAAGCAAGCATTTTTAATAATTTATTAGATTTCCAAAAAGATATGAAGTTCAAAGATAAACAAATAGAAAATTAGAAAAAGAAAATGGCTCAGAAGGCAATAAAAGTAAAAACACAGAAAGAAAAATAAAAAGAAAAATAGGAAAAGAATTATTTCTGAATGAAATTCCAAAATCAGCTTTTCATTTCCTTCAGTTTCTCTCAAAAAGTCCAATAATAACAAGTAAAAATAAAATTTGCCAAAATCTTTGATCGATTTCACCATCTCTGCTAATTCCACCAGCTTCACCATCCATTCTACCATTGTAGATATTTATAAGTCCTTCCACCTTTGAGCATATAAAAATGAAAGTAAGCTTTTGACCCTTTTTCACTTGATATTTTTGGCATGCAGATCCCAAGACTTTATTCAAAAACCAAGTACATCTCTCAACTCAGAGAAAATTGCTATATATAGTCCAGGCCCACCTAATACTATTTCTTACTATTTTAAAGTACCTCAGTGTAAAGGAGCATCTCTTTATTTAAGATCTCTTTAAGACATTTGCTTGTTCCGGATGTCACATGGAAGAAACACCAATTTCTTGCTCTCCTTTTTTTTTCTTTAGAGATTATCACTTCGTAAAGCTGAGGACTCTCCGAGCAAACAGAAGAAAAGCGGTGATAATGTAAGAGAAAGGATTATCCGGCGGGCCGCTCTTGAATTTGCAGATGGCATGTATGGTATCCTTTAGCCATGGTGAAAGTTCTTTGCTTCCTTGTTTCTGAAGGCACAATGGAACAAGAAATGTAGATAAAAGTTGAATGAAACCTTAACTTAATTAATTAAAGCTAACTTGGGTATCGGCATTCCCCTACTTGCAAGCAACTTCATCAGTCCGGATATAACTGTGCATCTGCAGAGTGAAAATGGCGTCCTTGGTTTGGTAAGGAGAGAACAGAGATAATACAGAAACCCATCCATTAGCCTACTCCAGCCAAGGCTTTCCAGATAAATAGGACTACAGTTCCTATCACCCCCTTGTGTGAAATAGGACCTGTAGTTCAGCTGTAGTCCAGTTTGTTGAAGACTGCTGTAAATATGGCTGGGGAGGTTAATACTTATGGATGAGTTCATTGAATATATGGTTAGAACAAAGATTCAATATTTGTTGTTGTTGTTGTTGTTGTTGAATTAGGGACCCTATCCATCTGAAAATGAAGTTGACCCTGACCTCATCAATGCAGGTAACTTTTCCCCTTTCTGTTACTTACATTTCTATCTTGCTTTTTCATTCAGAAAGATTAGTGCAACCTATTGTCTGACTCCAGATAGAATACATGGGGAGGACCAGAAAGCAAATGTTCCAGATGTAGAGATGTAGAAGATGAAGTAGCTTTAGCATAGGGCCACACTATTTTTTTTGAGCCAAAGATTTACTTGGGTCTTTTAGTAGAGTGCCCTATACCAGAAAGCAAATTTTTGCAGATTAGCAGCCATGGCAAAGCTAAACTTAATATTATTGCCACTTAAATATAGATAGTAAGATTAAATTCCAACTAAGTATTTAAAAAAAACTTCCTCTTCTGTCATATTAAAATAACAAGTTTTGCGTGTTTGGGAACCAAGACATTCAGGATTCGCACAAAGCTAGGAGGATGTAGACTACATGTACCTGACATGTTTTTTTTTTGTTGCCAGTCTAGTTACTCACATCAGAGTAACTCTAGTAATTCTTAGCTTTAGTCACCAAGTGAGAAAGTGAAAACATCACAAATACCATTCTTCCTCCTCTCCCAATTTAGTACTGCACATCTCCATCCTTATAAAATACTATAATTATTACTCAGTACCTGGGTATTTTTCTCTCTAAGTTTCTTCTTAGGAGATAATTCTGCCCTTTCAGAAGTAAACAAAGCACCTCATGGGAGTTACTTGGTTCCAATGGAGCTGGCTGAACTGGGCAGTGCCATTTCCTGGAGATTTTTCATCAGGGTCCCTGACTGATTCATGAGGGTCAATAGTTCTGAAACTATTCTCACACAGCTTTTCCTTTTCTTAGTATTCTTGGATCCTCTCAGTTGTAGTTTATACCTCCCTGCTCGTCCATTGAAGTAGCTGCCTCATGGGCTTTGTCCAAGCCTAATTTTTGAAAAAGGACTTTAACCCAAACTTCCTGACTTCATTATTTAATACATTCAACTACAGTCCTTCAGCTCTTTTCAACTTCAGTTTCTGTACAGTATTTTAAAATATCTGTGTTTAAAGATGAACCATGTAACTTTTCCTGAGTCATTGGCTTCATTTCTGCATTTCATAAAGGAATGGTCAGCAGTACAGGATCTATGGATGCCTGGACATTTACAATACCTTCAAACGGTATCAAATTTAAAATAGTTGATTAAAAAAAATGCAATATATCAAGCGAGTTTAGCACTCTCTTTGGGGCAGATGTGAAGTACTTGAAAGTACATGGTTTCTCACTTTTTTTTCTCAAACACTAGAATAGGTACCATGAACTTCTCTGTACATTTTTCTGCCTTACTGAATACAGTCTGTAGAGACTCTCAGTCATCTAGGTAATGGTTGTCCCAAAGGTGCTTTTTCAGGAGGCAACTGGACTTCCTTGTTTTTTCTTTTTTTCTTCCATTCCCAATATCCTAAAGAAACTTCTTGAATGAGAAGCGAAACATCTTCAAAAGAAAAAACTAGAAAGTCCAGTTGCCTCTTGAAAAAGCGCCTTTGGGAATTTTTTGAATTCAGTTACCATTTTTTTAAAACAGTGAGGTACTTCAAGAAAGTTTATATTTAATGCAGAGGGAATGTTTTTTCTTACTGTACTTATTAAGAATCATAATACATGAAGTTGGCAGAATAAATTTCCAGTACCACTCTGGAAAGTTCTCTGGTTTTATGCCCAATTTTTTTTTCCAGGTAAAGAAACAGTCACTGTATTGCCAGGTGCTTCATACTTCTCTAGTGATGAATCTTTTGCAATGATTCGAGGGTATGTAATGATCATCTTAATTTCACTAACTGTCCAAGGCATTGCCCCAGCTGGTAGCTGAATTTATTATTTAACCATCCCAAAGGGACTTCATACTTACCCATCAAAACAGTCATGCAGTTGATAGATATTTGAGCTATATTAGCAACTCAAGCAGCTTTAAGAATTGTCAAACTAACTCTTTATATAAATCCTTCTATTTTATGAACTGAGTTTCATAGCATGGATGTTTTCATAACTAAATATGGAATGCACGAAAGTTACTTTATTATTTATTAGATGTTAACATTTGTTTATAACATCTGCTGATCAAAGTCTCTGGTACCAAGCTACCAGTGGTACTGGTTGATTGGTTTTGGACTTAGCATTAACCCAATCATTATGGCTTATGAATCATGGTTTAGAGTCCCAGCCAATTGTGATTTATTCAGATAATTAATGCCACATTTCAATCTATTACTTAGTTCAGACAGACATAGTCTTCTATAAATGTCTTTGGAACTTCAGTCTTATGTTTATTCAAAACATTTAAACAAGCAATTCTTTAATCTCACTGCTATTTAATTTTTCAACATCTTGAGGATTGAAGTAACTAGTGTGCCAGAATTCTGTGTGTAATTTTTCTTCTAGCTGTGCACTGATGTTGTGCTTTGCTATTTTAACAGGGGACATGTTGATCTAACAATGCTTGGGGCAATGCAGGTATCTAAAACTGGTGATTTAGCCAACTGGATGATTCCTGTAAGTAGATTTAATTTTATATTATCTTATTGCTTAGAATAATTTGAAGTGCTGCTATATATCTTTACTAAAGATGCTTTCTTAACATCTGTGTTTCAAAAAAGGGCCAGAAAAAGGAGAATATAACTTGTGAATGCATGCTCAAATAAATGTTATAGTCATCTCCCAATTTGCTCAGAAGGGATCACAATATTATACTTGTCTTTTGTAACTGAAGATTTCCTTTAGAAATCTAATTCTAACGAAATCTAATCTAATATGTCTAATGAAAAAGAAAAGGAAAATCTTGGTTCAACCTATTTTGGGTTATTGCCCTTCCCACTAGGGTCTCCTCAGTGTTAAGTGTAGTTCCTAATTACAATATCAATTGATCACTCAGCTATATCATAAACATAAAATGAAATTTTGAAACCTGTTGTTTAGTTTCAGGCTGAGGAACCAATGATTCCAGATTTTGTGGGATGAGAATTCTATCATGGGTCCAAGACATTTGAATCGCAGAGTAGAGCCAAAAGTGAAAAGGGGCTAGTTAGATCCCTGCTGAACTGATCTTGTGGTTAGAAAGGTTTTTATAACATTCAGTCAGAATTCGATTGATTCTGTAATTTAAATCCATTTTTTCTATGGAGGAAAGAACAGGTTTTGACCTTCTTTGTAATATCCATTCAGATTTTTGAACAGTGCTATTTTATTATACCTCAATCATCCCTGGTATAGATGTGAGCAGGGGGTTGGACTAGATGACCTCCAAGGTCCCTTCCAACTCTGTTACTGTTAAATCTACAGTAGCGAACCAATTCAGTTATTTTCATTATTTGTTGATAGAAAGCATTGGTTTCTATTCCAGCCATGCAAGGCCAATCCTGAAAATGTTAACTAAATGACAAGCTTAAGCAGAGATATAAATAGATCTCCCTTTTCCTTATTCACTTGCCTGCAAAAGATTTTATATGAAAGGTTGGAATGCAGCAACTTGTAATATAGTTTTATTGCAATAGCATTCAGAGCTCAACTATTTCACTGCCTCCAATAATAAAACTTCTATAACTATGTGTGCAGCTATAGCTAATCTTCATAGGGTTAATTAAGAGCTTCAGAAAAAATTTAGCTGGCAATCTCTTGTGGCTATCAGCACATGGATATTTTTCTCTTCAGATGCTCTACTCCCCCTGAGAATCCTGCACAGGAGAGACTGATTCTAAAAATCTGGTTCTCCTCTACCTTTGATGATCTTCCTTAACCCAGAAACTCTTCAATGGCTCTTTGGTATTCCCTGGAATCCAACAATCTTGCAGTAGCCTCCAAACCAACATAATTTGTCTAAATCCAACTGCTTAAATCCAATTTAGTTTGCCACTCATAATCCTCAGATACTTTCCTTGTTAGCTCCTTATCCCATTTCAGCTTCTTCTCCCCTCTTTTCCTGAGAGGCTCTCTCTTTGTGCATGTGTCTGCAAGCTGGTTTTTCATAATTATTTTTTTAGATTGAGTTTACAACCTCTAGGAACAGCTTGTCTACCTGGAAAATCATATGGTAGGATGCGGAAAGTGTTTAGCTTCTACATCTGTCACATATCCATGTTTGTTTCATTTTCAGATTTAATCAACATTCCCATCTTTTCTAGATGTAAATCATTAATGAAAATATTACAGGACCAAGGATTAATTCTTGTATTATCCCGTTTGATAATACAATAATTTGATCAGGAACCATTGATGAATACTCTTTTTAGGTATGCTTTTCATGCCAACTGTCAGGGTTCCAAGTAATAAATCCATTGCAAGCAAGACGAGGCAATTGAATTCCCCAAAGATTACTTTTATTGGAAATATCATATTGGCACATATCTGGTGAAAACCGACTCTGAGAACTCTCACAGTTTTCACCATATTAAAAGAAAAGATTTTCCACTTTCTCAAAACAAACAGTTGCATAGTCCAATCACTGTGCAGTCCGACATCACTCTGCCTTCCTCCAACCCGGTGTGAGAATGTCCTTGGTTCCCAAGAGAAAGTATTTTGCTTTGGCTACAAAAATCCCTCTATCTCAGACCTTCCTCCTCCCTGACCCTCAGCTCCAGTGTGGCAACACTGAAGCGGACAAAATGGCTTCGTCAGGCCAGTTTCAGGGTTGACACCAGCTATGAAGTCATTTAATTGCCATGCAATCTAGCCCACATTTAACTAGTTTACTAAACAATAAGTATTGAAGTTTTTACTTAAATAGTCTGCTGAAATCAAGATAAATTATGTCTACAACATTGCTATAATCTGTTACAATCAAAAAAAAGAAATGATTCTGTATCTCTTCACTTAAGCTGACTAACCCATATACCCAGGAAACATAATTGCTTTCAGCAAAACTTCTTGTTACCCTTTTATAATTTTATTATACAGTAGTCATAAACTATGAAGCATCTCTTACGCTTGAGGGCTTCTTAGGACAAAGCTCTGATATATTTTCTCATTTTAAAAAGCAAAAAAAAAAAAAAAAAGTGCATTGATTTGAATGCTTTGTTTACCAATTAAAGCACATTTTATTCCTTGTTCTGTATCTTACCTATTTCCATACCTCATTGATTTCTTCCAGGCTGGCATTCAGCTATTCATTGCCACGTTTAAATTTTAAATGACAGGAAAAATGTAATCAATTTTCAGAGCTAAACAGATTCATTATAAAGAGAGGTGGGGAGAAATAAACTTTAAAAATCCACTTGGCGGTTTTCTTCTTGCAAGAATTCTCTTTTATTACTGTGGAAGGCTGGAGTTAAGATTCAATAAATTTCTTGCTGTGAGCCAGCAATGTGTGATATTTCACTATTGGCAGTGAAGCCTTTTCATGTATCCTCATCCGACATCAGCTTAGCAATTCAGAGAAAAAATAGGCAGTCTCACCCTCAAGGCTTGCCAAGGGAAGAATAAGGCTGCCTTATGATTTAGGCCCTCTGTGCTTTCCTTTAGATCTAACAGTAGCAGTATTGCAAGGGACCTTGGAGGTCATCTAGTCCAACCCCCTGCTAATGCAGGAGATCTATACTATTTCTGACAAATGGCTTTCCAGTCTCTTCTTAAAAGCCTCCACTGATGGGGCACCCACAACTTCCGAAGGCAATTTGTTCCATTGGTTGATTGTTCTCACTCTTAGGAATTTTCTCCTTAGTTCTAGGTTGCTTCTCTCCTTGATTAGTTTCCAGCCATTGCTTCTTGTCTTGCCTTCAGGTGCTTTGGTGAATAAGTTGGCCCCTCTTCCTTGTGGCAACCCTTCAAGTATTGAAAGACTGCTATCATGTCATTCCTGGTTCTTCTTTTCACTAGACTAGGTATACCCAGTTCCTGTAATCGTTCTTCATATGTTATAGCTTCTAGGCCCCTAATCATTTTTATTGCTCTTCTCTGAACTCTTTCCAAAATCTCAGCATCTTTTTTGTATTGGGATGGCCAAAACTCAATGCAGTATTATAAGTGTGGTCTTACTAGGGTTTTATAAAGTGGTACTATTACTTTGCAGGATCTTGATTCTATCCTCTGTTAATACAGCCTAATATTGTATTAGCTTTTTTGGCTGCTGCAGCACACTGTTGATTCCTGTTTAGATGGTTGTCCACTAGGACTCCAAGATCCCTCTCACAGTTATTACTATTGAGCCAGGTTTCATCTAATCTGCACTTGTACTTTTGGTTTTTCTTGCCTAAGTGTAAGACCTTGCTTTTCTCTAATATAAATTTCATTTTGTTGAACAGGGCCCAGTGAATAAGTCTATTGAGACTTGTTTACAGGTCTATCTAAACCAATGACGGCTAACCTTTTCCGGACCGAATGCCCAAAGCATGCGTGCACCCAAACCCCAAAAATGCAATGCCTACTTGGCCCCCCCCACGCCCCTCCCAAACGCATGCATGCATGCCTGTGGCACACCCCTGCCCCCCAGGCATGCATGCATGCCCCCATATGCCCCCCACACATGCACATGCGGCCCCCACATGCCCTCACGCATCCCCGCATGCCCCCCGTGCATGCGTGTGTAACCCTCTGCATGCGTGCACTCCCCCCTGCGCATGTGTGGCAAAGACCCAAAGACCAGCTGGCCGGCGGGAGGCATGCGTGCATGTGTGGCAGAGCTGAACTGGGGCGATACCTCACGTGCCCACAGAGAGGACACTGCGTGCCACCTCTGGCATGTGTGCCATCGGTTCACCATCATGGTCCTATACTATAAAATCAAAGCAGTCAATTTTTCCATCTCTGCCAACTCCATTAATTTAACCAGCCACTTTTCCATTTTGGATAAATGTGAGTTCTTCCATCTCTGTGGATACAGAGGCCTTGTCAGTGATATTTGCTTCTTCACTGGCATGTCAGATGGCATTGTAAAAATATTTGTTCATTTTAAGTTGTGTTCCATGTGCATAATAGTGTAATTAGGGTTTATTAATATTTATTACTTCCCTTCAACAGTAGTTTCCCACCATGCTTAAGGCACAAGTGAGTTGCAACTACTACTGGGAGCATCTGCTTGAAAGTTATTAGTCTAAATGTTACATTAAAAGTGAATTAAAGAAAGATTTGAGACTGTGCATTTATGTTTGCCATCTTTTCACGTGATCTATATTGATAAACTTGTAAAATCAAGCCAGAAGCATAAATGAAACAGATGATATAGAATAAGCTTCTTGTTAAAACAAAATAATGATAAATATTATTTTCTTACCAACTTATTCATCCTCCTTACATAGTCACATATTTGAATAGCCAATTAAAAGGAAATGTAGGCAGGATGGAGAAAAGAAGGCCGAACACAAACTAGATGTTGCAGATGGAAGGTTCATATATTCCACAGGTTACATCTTTCATGGGCCTCTGGCTTGTCATCACTTTGATGGATAAAGGACTGGGTAACTCTGGGTTTTAGGGCTTCTGGCTCTGGAGAACTTCCATTATTTCTGGATAGGGTATAGCTCCTCAGACAAAATTGTTTCACGGTCTGGGCATCTTCTCGGATTCACAGCTCAGTAAGCAAGTGGCAGCTGTGGCCAAGGAGTTCTTTTGCAACAAATCCATTTTGTGAGCCAGATGTACCCTTTCCTGGATTGGGAGGCTCATAGTCACTCATGTCTTAATCACTTCCCATAACCTATTGCAGTGCAGTCTACATTGGGTTGTCTTGAAGAGCATTTGGAAACTGCAACTTCTCCAGAATGTATTGGTGTGGAAAGTTTTGGGTGCACCCCAGGGGTGGGTTCTACTTACCTTTACTACCGGTTCTCAATGGGGCCTCGCTTTGCTCACATGCGCGCTCTTCTATGCATGCGCAGAAGCATTCTGATGATGTCGGGGTCGGTGGGCGGAGCCTCCCACCGGTTTTACTACTGGTTCTATAGAACCGGTGAGAACCGGGGGCAACCCACCACTGGTGCACCCACATTACAGTATCTCCCTGTAACACCACTGTTACGTGACTTGCACTCACTTCTAATAAGGTTCTAAGAGCAATTCATGGTGCTGAATTGTACAGCACACAGGACCAGGATACTTGAGGGACCAAGTCTCTCTGGTGATTTGCACCCACACCATCAGAGTGGACAGGATGAACAAGTGCTAGGTCCCTTTTGTTAAATGCGGTCATCTCTTGGGACCAAGGGGACAGGCCTTCCTTTCACAGTACCTGCCCTGTGGAACAGCCTCTCTCCTGAGGTTCAGATAATCCCAACACTGAAGGCCTTAAAATCCCTGATTCTTCCCTCAATCTTAAGGGCAAGGAGCAGGGATGGGCTGCAGGGGGTAAGCAGGGGTTCAGGAGAACCTCTAGCTAAGATTCTGTGCAATTCGGATTCCACTCCAAATCCCACTCCTGGCTGGCCCCGCCCACCCCTCCCCTCCCAGGAGTCACCACGCAGCCTGTTTTGGATGCAGGTAAGTGCAGAGCATGCACAGAGGTTCAGGGACGGCGAAAAACGGGCCTACTAGAAGTTCAGGAAAAGGCCTCCGGAGCCTGGGGAGGCCATTTTCACCCTCCTGGAGGCTTGAGGAAAGCCTCCGGAGGCCAGGGAGGGCAAACGCAAGAGACTGACTAGGCCACGCCCACCATGGCCACGCCCACCCAGCAACCGGGCAGAGAACCCTTGCTAAAATTTTTGAAACCCATCCCTGGCAAGGAGGTGTGGAGTCTGCTATGTGTTTTTGCCATGTGATGGTTGAAGAGTTTCTTTTTGTGTGTGTGTGTGTGCCTGATGTCTCTCTGTTCTTTCAATTAGTTTTGTGATATGTATTTCTGTTTTTATTCTTGATAGTCACTCAAGAGTTATTTGATTAAGATGGGTGGCCATATACTGTACATAAACAATTTTTTCTTGAAGCATGGATAATTAGGCTGTGTCCATTCAGGTGCGCTGACTTCTTTTTAAGTGACTTACTTGACTAGGAGCTGTTTATATCATATTCTAAGACCAGCCTTGGTGATTCTAGGAATCAATCCAACCCTGGAAATTACTACATCTCCTGGAATGCACGTTGCTTCTGTAGGGTTCATGTAGCTACTGCAGCTGTCTTTTTCTGGTACCTGTTGTTATTCTCATCTCTTTCTCTAGTAGTTTGTTCATTTAATAAAATTATTAGCCACCTCGATCACTGGCATAGCTATAGGCAGCGTACACAAGTTAAAGATGTATAAAGCAGCAGAAGTGTCACATTAACAATACCATAAAAAAAGTAACTGAGCAGGATTCCAGATCATTCTGCTCTAGGCCTGCTGGGAAAGTTATGTCTTTGTGGTTCTTCTGAAAAGCAGCAGAGAAAGGGCCATATGGGCTTTGGGGGAAAAATGCCCTTCTCCACAGAGAGCTGCCATTGAGAACCTACAGATAAAATTCTTTTAACACATTGGTTCCAGGGCATGCTGACTCTTCTAGGTCTTACTGGATGTCAGAAACTTTAGAAAAGTCTCACAGAGCACTTTTCCCCCATAACTTTGCAGGTTGCAGAACTTTCTTTGCCTGAAGTCATTCAGTCTCTTTAATCTCTTTTAGTATTACACCTTTGCACATGGATTTCATTTCCATAATGTTTATGTAAACATTTTCTTAGCTGTGTAACATTAGGTAAAGTATTGCTTTGGCTGTTATGAATAGAGGTAGTCCTCAACTAAAGACCATAATGGTGATCTTTATTGCCCATTACTGTTGTAAGTCATGATGGTCATAAAGCAGATCATCCATGTGACCAACCCAATATTATGACCATTTTTCCTGAGGTTGTTAAGCACATGTCTTGGTCATTAAGCAAACTCATTGTTCACTATGGAGTGTTTGTGCCCCAAACCAGAAGTAAATGCTGGTTTTAGGCAAAAACATACATCATGATCATGGGATCATGGCAAACAACTATAAATACAGGCCAGTTGCCAAGTGTCCAAGATGCAGAATTTCAAAACCAAGTTGTAAGTACATTTTGGGATGGTTCTTCGTAACTTTGAACAAGTGGCAAGTTGAGGGCTATCTATAGTATGATAATTAATTAATAGAAAGGGGTCTATCGTACTGAAGTCCAGTCCATCTAACTAAAAGTTTGGAGTTGTTGGACAGATTCAGAATTTTGAGTTCATGCTGTGAACATCCAAGATGGCTGCTGGAGTGGTGTCTCCAAGAACACATCCCTGCTCCTCTCCATTCCTCTAGCTTCCCGGGGTGATGGGAATTACATTTGGTAAAGTTAGACTAGCCCAGTGGTGAAATCCAATTTTTTTTACTACCAGTTCTGTGGGCGTGGTGTGGATTGGTGGGCATGGCAGGGGAAGTATACTGCAACATCCCCATTCCCTCCCCACTCTGGAGCCAGCCAGAGGTAGTATTTGCCAGTTCTCCTAACTACTCAAAATTTCCACTACTGGTTCTCCAAACTGCTCAAAATTTCCGCTACCGATTCTCCAGAACCTGTCAGAACCTGCTGGATTTTACCCCTGGACTAGCCTCATGCTATTAAACATCCTACTTTAAGAGCAAAATATTTAGAGGTGGAAGAGTGACAAAGTGATAGATGACATCTTCCTATGATAGACTTATCAATATTAATAACAAAGAGTGATGATGAAGATATAGTGCAGCAACGTAAGTAAACTACCAAACCAACGACAGATACTCTGAGGCTATTAGTGAATCCAAAATAATAAGTATGGCAAACATTCTTTAGAGAATGTGTGAATATGTGGAAATGTCACTTCTTACTTTTATTTGGTCTTCTGGTTCGGAAAATGACTGTTATGAAATACTTGCTTTTGAGAACTGCTTTTCCTTGGCAAAAAACTTTATTACCATTCTTGCCTTACATGGTTTTGAACCTTTTGATCTGTTTGCTTTTTAAAGCCACCCTCAAAGATTATTCTAATCTCTCGGTATTTGACTTTGAAATGCTTTGAAAGAACCCTAACGTTAACGAAGTTGCTATTTCCAATTCCTTTTTTAGCTCAAGCTACAGAACTTGCCCATTGGTTATTGACATTCTTCAAATTTTACAGAGAATTTTCTGTTTGGAACATACTTTCTTTCAGCCTCCTTAAAAGAGGGCTAGTGCTTGATTAATGGTTTCCAGGCTTGCAAAAATAACATATTGCCAAGGCCTTTTTTTTATAACAGTTATTTTGATTTCCTTCCTGGGAAGGCAAATATAAATAAATCTTGCTTAACACCTTTTGAGTACTGGTACACGCTGAAAAGTGTTCTTTCACTCTTCCTCTCTCTCTTAATCAGCAAATCCACCCCCCCTCCTGCCATATTCCCTTTCCTACCCCTTACATTTGAACACCCAGAATTGATTTTAAGCATCCACAGGATAGAACTCAGGATTAAAGGAGAAAATTGATTATACGTAGAATATGTTGGGATGATGCTAGCATCATAATAATACGAAAACCTGGAATCCATCAATAAAACATAAGCATAATAAAAAAGCAATAGAATACAATCAGTTTCAAGTGAAATGCCTATGTTCTCCAAATCAGCAACAAACAGGATTAATATGAACTTGTCTCTTTTTATTTAAAATCAATGACATTTCTGAGCCGTACTGCTGCTATAAATTGGCAGATACCCTGAGCCTTCAAGCAAACAAGCAAATCTTGGATTATGCATCTCAAATGTGAAATTATATCTGCTTTAAGATAATAGAAAGTTTGTCATTTGCATATTGACCTTACTTCCTCATATTGAAATGTGTCTTATTAGTGATCCATTTCCCTTCCCTTGGTAATGGAAGATGGATTGAGACAAAGGGAGCACTGTTAATATTTGCAGGAATTAACCTTAAAAAACAAAAACTTTTGAGATATTTGTATTTTAATTCCCTCCCTCTTTTTTTTCTTTCTTTCTTTCTTTCTTTCTTTCTTTCTTTCTTTCTTTCTTTCTATCTTATCTTATCTTATCTTATCTTATCTTATCTTATCTTATCTTATCTTATCTTATCTTATCTTATCTTTCTTTTCTAGGGAAAGATGGTGAAAGGAATGGGTGGTGCCATGGATTTGGTGTCCAGCTCAAGAACTAAAGTAGTAGTGACTATGGAACACTCAGCAAAGGTAAAATAGAGTGAAATTGTGTGTTGTCAAAATTCTGTTTGCAATCATGGAGGGGAAACTTCATCTCTTGTGTCAATGTATGTACAAGAACTGTGGTTGCATGGTCATGACCATCATCTTTAATTTGACCTTTGCATATTTGTCTGTTTATTTATTTATGTTACAGTATATGCCATTAATCTTGTGGTTCAAGGCAATTCTGGGTGCCTTTTGACATAAAAACAAATCTAGAGTTTTGGTTATACTATGGTAGATATCTTCTTGACTTTTTAACTACACTCTGTGGACATCCCTTTATACATTAGAATGAATTCGAATGGAGTAATTGTTTTCTGTAGTAAAAAGAAAAGAAAAGGACATAACAAAGAATGTCAATTCAATTCAGTTCAATTCAGTTCAAACCTTTATTGTCAGAGTACAACATGTGTACAATGAGATTGGCTGAGCCTCCCTTCGTGCACCCCCCACAACCCAATACAACTCACAGTGAAAGACAGTAAAAGAAAAGAAAAATTCCTAACCCAGTGAATCCTACTAACAAACACATAACACATAACAAAGAATGTTTCAAAGAGTTTAAATTTAAAAAGCGCTGATATACACAGCTATAAAGCAGACTTAGCATTACTGCAAAATTCTATACAATGATCACTGATTAAAACTTGCAAAGTACTTTCAAGTTGCTTCTTAGAATACTTAATCCAAATGAGCAATTGGATTGGAAAGCAGAAGTGGAGAACTATTAACTAGCTTACCTATAGCTGAGCAGTTACTAGTAAAAGTATGAAACCTTTTTCTTTCAAGCAACCAGGGAACAGATTAAAGTGTTCACAATTAGAAGGCATTGTTTCTTTTTCTCATTTTAAATTTAATACAATATCAATCGCTATTAACATCCGACTATTTACATGATATAATCACATCACGTTCATGGTATAAACCACATGCTTGCTGGGATCAGTTTAAATAAAGTTGAATAATACCAATTGAGATGCAGTACTGAGGGAAAGAAACACGCTGAAAAGGCAACAAACTATTCAAGCTGGAAGAAGTTACAGGGAAAGATTTGATCCCTGGACTACTGCTACCCTTTTGCAGGCAAAATTACGCATTGTAAGCCGCCCTGAGTCTCCGGAGAAGGGCGGCATATAAATCAAATTAAAAAAAAAAAAGTTCCAATATGACCTTGATGCAGAGATGGGATTCACATACTGTAGCAACTGGCACCGGAAATGTGAGCGTGTGCGAATTCGCGCACGCATGTGGCATCACGAAACATGGCAATTCACTCACGCACACCGTCTGCACATGTGTGTGACGTCAAAAATACAGTGATATAGGACGGGATTGCCCCTGGGCGGGTGGGCAAGACCACTAGCAGGTCGCCACTACCGGTTCACATGAACCGGCTGAATACCACCTCTGCCTTGATGTAAGATAAAGTTGGCTCTGTAATGATAGCATAATATAAATACTATTTATAGACACATATAGTGTACTGTAAGTACATAATATAAATACTGTATATAAGTACCGTATTTTTCAGCATATAAGACCTTTTTCCCCCCAAAAAGAGGGTGAAAATCTGGGTGTGTTTTATACTCCGAATGTAGCCCCGCCCAGCCTCGCTAACAGAGATTTCAGAGTCTGAAAAAAGCATCAGAAACAAAGTTTCAGAAAAGAAGCCCCCAAACAGATCTTCAGAGGCTTTTTTTCTGAAGCTCTGTTTCTGAGGCTTTCAGAGGCAGGAAAAAAAGTTTTTCCTGAAACAGAGTTTCAGAAGTTTCAGAGGCAGAAAAACAAGCAAAAAAAAAAAAAAAGGCACGGCACAGAGCTCACAACCAAGGAACCTGTTGCTAAAATTCAACTCTGATAACAGCTGATTGGGGATATTCCGGGAGGCCGATCCACCTGCCAAAAAGAACCAGGGTCTTTTTGTAATGCACATCTAAGCATCAAGCCTCAGAATGTTTCAGTAACATGTGGGACGACATAATATAGGCCAGATAATTAACATGAATCTTATGATGCAAGTTTTGATGATTCTTCAAAGAGAAATATTGCTGATATGCTTTAGGACAATGAGGTACCTGCTAAATTTGGGCATTCAGTAAAAGAGTCAGAACCAAGGTCTGGGCTATGAAAGAGAAGTATATCAGAACCCTGGAAAGTGTGCTGCCATAGTTACAGATTAGTTTGAAAGAAAAAAAAATTGTTGATCTATCATCTGTTAATGGCCAACTAAAGACTTAAGAGGAGTGGCAAAGTTGCTAACTAGCTTTAAACACTGCTGGTGCTTTCCAAGTCCTCAAGAGTTTTTGATGCCTGAAATTGCAGTTGTTATGGAAGAGTTAACTTGTGAGCCCAATGTTCAATCACTGGGAAGTTGTGTTCTCAAATGGGATGACATAAAAGAAAGGCTCCCCTTAATTGGCCTGATCTAGGGTTCATTCTAATCCATATTCTCAAGATAGCCTTGGTAAGCTCCTGAATGTATGGACATGATAGCATAGAAGGAAGAAGGTTGGCCTTTTCCAGCATAGCATGGTTCTGATGTGTTGTATGTGCACCCTAGTATAGCTGGAAAAGGCCAGGCTACAGAAAACTGAATTTAATTTATTAAAACGTATGAATGACACAGTGGAAATTAGCAGGAACGAGGACAGGAAATGCACGGATTAAAGTAGTCAGATTTTACAAAACATTCTGTGAGCAAGCCTCAATTCATGCCAAAAATGAGCCTAGACCAGTGATGGCTAACCTTTTTGTCGTTGTGTGCTGAAAGCGCGCGTGACAGCACGCATGCGTGCCGGCACCCATAATGCAATGCGCCCCCCTGAGCATGGGTACATAATCTCCCTCACGCTTCCCCTGCGCATGCACGCGCGGCCCTCCTCGCCCCATTTTGGGCCTAGTAGGCCTCCTTGCTGTTACAGGTGTCATGTCAGCCTTGTAGGCAGCTTTATTCCTCTTTAGCATTCAACTCTATTGTTTTGTGATGCATTTCCTGCCTCTAGGATTTACTTCTATTTGTTCCTATGAGGCACCTCCTGTTCCTGTTGTATATATGTATTTATATTCTCGATGGCTTGTTTGGCGTTTTAACTGCATTTTGATTAAAACTACTTGAAACACCAGTAGCCTCCTGGGACCAAAAACGGGCTGTGGGGGGGCACTGTTTCCCCTGTTCCCATGCATGTGCACGCCCCCCCCCTCTGCTTGCGCATGCATCTCCTACATGTGCCCTGGCCCCCATCCCGAAAATCAGCTGGCCGGCAGGAGGCGAACACACGTGGAGCTGAGCACACGTGTCATAGGTTCGCTATCACGGGCCTAGACTATACCAATTCCCAAATCATCCATGAAAACGTCAAGACTAACTGAAGAATTGTACCGTAGCATTTGAAAAGTATTATGCTTCTGATTTTGAAGCAAGTGGGACTCTTGAACAGTGAAGATTTATTAGAGTGAAATTTGTGTTCTGTTGCAGGGCAATACCCACAAAATACTGGAAAAGTGCACTTTGCCAATTACTGGGAAACAGTGTGTGGATCGCATCATAACGGAAAAGGTAAAGTACTTGGTTTGGTTACTTTTAGCTTATTTCCTTTCTGACATAAACTGAAGGGCTTGGGAGGGGGGAACCTTGTTATCGTCATAACAAACCTGCAAAACAGAGCAGGAAATAGGTAAGCCCTTGAATAATAATAATCAGATATTGTTTTGTTCAGATGACCATTTTTCTTAGAAAACAAGGCCCAATGCCTGCATTTTTGCTCTGTGTTATTTTCAGTTCAACTAATAAGGGGAAATAGTCTGAAGATTAGAATTAATATATAGAAATGTATATTTAAAATAATAGTCTCTTCATTTTTTCTTTCCAACTCATGTCTGCCTCCACCGTGTAAGCTTACCAAGAAGGAGAATTAAAGTCTTTTCAACTGGAGCTGTCATTCAGGCTAGTAGGCTGTTGCTCCAGGGTGCCTAATTATTTATGGTTTGATTCTCCAACCTGGCAGATTTTGGCTCTGTTGGCTCAGAAGTATAATCCCTGACCATCTGTGGTCTCTTGGCTAGAGAATATGGATTCCTGACTGGTTCAATGGTGGGACAGCAAAAGGGACTCTAAAGGATTTTGAGATCTATTTATTTTTGTGTGATCTTCTGTTTTCCTAAAGAGCTTCTTTTCCCCACCTGGCTCCAGTTTTCTGGGAAAATATTAGACTCTTCTGCTGAAGCAAACCTTTCATTAATGCTTTGTAGTGTTTATCAACAGGTTTCATGGAAGGGACTATAATACTCTTTCCTCATACCGTATGATAGCAATCTGTTATCATCTTGCTGTTGCCATTTACAAATTGTTGTAGGGGAAGGATATCTTGATAGTTGTGCAAAAAAGCTCTTGACAGATTAAAAACCAGCCTGTCAAGGAAATAACTGGGTTTAGCACTTCCTTCCATTCTTCTGGTTTTTACATACAATGAGCTTAAATATAATGTTTTCAGATACTTTTCAGATACTTTCAGATACTTAACCCTGGTTGGCCTTCACTGCCCATGCTTACTCTCCCCACCAAGCAATTAATAGTGACATCATCTGGCAACAAGTATGTCATGTGAGTTTGGGAATTGTAGCACCAACACCCAGTTTACTTGAGTGAGTGAATTGCTCATGCTGCTTTTTAAGTAGGTGGAAGGGAAGAAGCATAAGTGTAGGAAAACAGAGGAACGGGTAACCAAACATCAGGACTCGAGAGCAGGGATTGGTTTTCAGAGTTTGAATCAGCCTTCTGAAAACTCAGCAGAGTTTTCCATTCTAACTAAACCTCTTTATAACTTATTTCAATCCTTTAGGCTGTTTTTGATGTCAATAAGAAAAAAGGACTGACGCTGATCGAAATCTGGGAAGGCGAATCTGTAGATGAGATTAAAAAATGCACTGGTGCTGACTTTACTGTAAGTCTCTAACTAGTTAAATATAGAGGAGAAACAAATTGCTAAAGAAGACAGGATTCTCTTAGTCCCTTACTCTTGACCTAGTCTAGGGGTGTCAAACTCGATTTCATTGAGAGCCGCATCAGGTTTGTGTTTGACCTTGGGGGGGGGGGGGGGGGGGGGGCGTGGCCAGTTCAAAGTCACTTGTGTTGGGGGCACCTGTGGCAGCCTGAGCGCTCTGCCAGCAAAAACAGAGCTCCATTTTCGCTTGCAGAGGCACCGGGGGCTGGTCCTTCACTATTTCCAGGTTGGTCCCGCAGGTCAGATCTAAGCACCCCATGGGGCCTATCTGGCCCATGGGCCTTGAGTTTGACATTCCTGGCCTAGTGCAATGCAGGTTGTGGCCTTTCAGACATGAATGACAAATGTTAACAGTTTATAATAGTACGGTTTTTTTTAAAAAAGGCCAATGGTGGTATAACTTGTCCAGACTAAGGAGAGGAAAGTAATTTATCTATTTCAGTTTCTTAGAAAAGATGGTTCATTGGCTTGACTTAGAATGAGCCCATCTTCTGGCAATATTATAATGTTTCTGTACAATGTTGTCTTATGCTTGCATGTTTTTGGTTAGGTTCATAAGATGCTGTGAAAGAAGATTGGAGTCACTGACCATTATAGGAATATAAACATATTTAAAATACATAAAAGTAGCAGATTGATCTGGGTAGCAACATGGCTCAACATCCCCACTTTCTGGCACTATTTTATAAACTGAGGGTTCAGCAACTAAAGTCCCAAGCCTCAGCTCTGGCCCTCCAAGACACAAAGGCTTCTTGGCCTGCAGCTACAAACTTACAAGCAAATAAAATATAATTTAAAAAAACAGGAGAGGTCTTGCCCTTAATGATTTCCTGAAAGTTTACCAGTTTTGATCCTGTGTTTTCTACCTACAAGTCATGTTCCTTTAAAAATTGATGCTACCCAAGGCTGCAAGCCTTTAAATATCAATAATATGTTCCATCAAGCCTTCAATTTAAAAAACAACAACATAGTTTTAGAATTATCCTTATTTTTAAGATTTTATGGAACAATGTATTAGTTGTATGCTTTTGTGGAGATCAATGTCTTAGTGGTAGCCTTGAGAGCTTGCCTTGCATTCTTACAAACAAGAAGGAATCGTTGTTTTCTAAATTGCACTAATATGCTGAAATCTCCAAATTAAATTCTGCAGCAAAAGGCAGAACATGGTAAAAACAGACAATTATGCTCGAGAAAATTAAATGTGGAAACAATGGAATCAGTGGTCTTAAACTGGATTAGTTTAAACATAAATAAATCCATAAATCCAGTCGAGTTCAGTCCTTTATTTGCTTACACCTAATGGGCAGAATCTTGCCAAACTAAAACCATAACTTCCTAAACTATTAAATATACAGTATCTTGAGATTCTAGGGTGGTTACCTTGAATCTCTGGAAAAAACTGATGGCTTGATACAGTGGTGGGCTGCCGCCAGTTGTATCAACCGGTTCGCCCAGCATCGAAAATGTGACCATGCACGCATATTCACTTTGCTCACTCGCGTGCCTTTCGCGCACAGCTTCTAAAACAGTGTTTCTCAACCTTGGAAGCTTGAAGATGGGTGGACTTCAACTCCCAGAATCCCCCAGCCAGCGCTGCTGGCTGGGGGATTCTGGGAGTTGAAGTCCACCCATCTTCAAACTTCCAAGGTTGAGAAAGACTGTTATAAAACATGGCAATATAGGATGACATAGCACCAGGGCGGGTGAGCGAGCCCACCCACTGGTTGCAACGACAGGTTCACCCGAACCGGCAGCAGCCTATCTCTGGCTTGATAGAGCACATTATTGACATTTAAAGGCTTACAGTCTTGGGTTGCTTTGGATAGCATCAATTTTTAAAGGAAATGACTTGTAGGAAGAAAACACAGGATCAAAACTCTCCCTCACTTCTGCAGGTGCACTTTCCATCACAGCTAGAAAGATCTGGAAAGAGTAGACAAAGCTGCCTGTGACTTTGGCCTAATTTCAGTCTTTCTGCCTACTCATCCATTGGAGGAGATCAGTCAAACCTCTCCATTAAATGCTCTTTGTCTCAACCTGATGCCTACTGTTTATGGGTAGGAGTGGGGAGACAAAGTGTCAGAAAGAGAGAGAGAGAAAAAAAGGGTGGGACAAATAATGACACCAGTGTTGGCTGAAGCCCTATTGACTGCTTGTTTCAGCCCATGTGGTCTTTGCCAGATTACTGCTGAGAGAAGACAAGAGAAGTTTGCCCACACACTTGCTATTCAAGCTTATGTATTTTAAGTCCCACTGAACTCAGTGGGATTTTAATGGAAGAGAACAGAAACCAATCTATACATGGATTAACTTCCTCAATCTAGTATCCTCCAGATGTGTTGGATCAACTCCCAGAACTTTCGTGCTAAATATTTGGAGGGCATGAAGTTGAGAAAAGAGGTTGGAAGCTTTTGGTTTGCTTCAGTGCACGGAGACAGTTGTACATAACTGAGTTAATCCATGTATACATTTATTTCTATCCCGTTCTGCTGAAATGCATGAAGGGACATCAGTATGCACTAGAACTTTTATTGCCTCCAGCACTTAACATTTCTCATGTCATGATTGCATTGTTGTGTAGGCACCAATCATATTTGATTAAAGACATATTTTTTAAGAGTTGAAAGCGATTTGTGACATGACAGCTTTGGTGTTAGGGCAAACCAGGAATAGAAAGAGAAAACATAAAATCTTACTGGGTCTGTTTTACCTTTGGGAATTACATTGCTCATCCTAATCAGTAGTAGTAGAATGAAAATTTAGGTGTGAGGCAGTACTCACACTAGACATGGGATGCTGTGCTTTCTAATCCAGACCTGGTTGAAATCAGATAGCACTCAAGAAACTATAGGGCTCTCTAAATGAGCATATGGGAGATATGGGGCTCTTTCTCCCCTCCTTTGCTGCCAAAAACAGGCACTGACCCATCATTCAATAGAAGCAAGCAATGTCTTTTTTTTTAATTATTTCATTCAACATTGTTATTTCTGGTAATTGCTTTTGTCTTCATTCTTGAATCCCTTTTCTCATGAAAAATAGAATTTGCACAGTATTTCTTGAGTGTTCAAAACATTCCAATAAAACTGTTAATTGTTATTATGGCAGATGGTTTTCTGGATCCTGGCAGCTTACCTAAAACTTGCTCCATTATCAATTTGTAGTAGCTGATATCAAACTATAGTCTCTTATGATACAACGGGGTATTGGAAAAATGGAGCTGTGCTAATACAAAAGCTGTTTGTTAACACACACATCCCAATTTGAGCGTCCTCCAGATTAAAGGCACTTCAATTCTGCAGTGCCTTTTTTGGCTGGGGAATTCAGGGTGTTAAAGTCCACATAAGGGTTTAGTTTAGAAGGACCAAATTCCGGACTCATAGATTTAGAAGGTAGAATAATACCTAAGCATTCACAATATACTCATTGTCTCCCATAACACGTGTTTGTTCTGCCAGTGCTTCATATATCTGAAAGAGCAAGATTTTTTCCTATTTGTATGTGGGTCTTAAATTATTTTTAGTACTCCAATCCAGCATAATATTTCCAAGATGTTTTGGTCCCATCAATATTCTTAGATAATAACAAAGCAAGTGGCTGCAGCACAAGGCTTTGTTCGAAAGTGTCTTCCTTAATCTCCAAACCAGAGTTCAGGGCTTCCTGGTTCATGATACCATAATCTATTCCTGTTTCTTTTCTCCTTCTCTTTTCTGGAAAATTGAAGTTGAGACTCAGGTTTTTATTGGAGGCAAAAACATTGTATTTTGTTTGTCATCTTATCATCACTATAAACACTGAAGAGTGATAGTCACTGGCTGTAATCAGTAACTACTTCAGAGCGCTGCAGCAATGCTGGTAATTATCTGTCAATTTAATTTTTTTTTCTCCTTTTTTAACAGGTTTCGCCAAACCTCATGCCAATGAAACAGATTTGAACCTGAAATGTAGAGTGGTCCTTTCTTCCATACTTCCAGGGAAGGGGAATCAAATGTCTGTTTTTGCATTTATGCATTATTCAGAGGTCTTTGTAAAGCAGTTTTTATTTAAGTAGTTAGCATCAAGCTGACTTGTAAACATTTACTTGTATGCAACAGTACAGTACAGTTTCCAAATTTAAATTTTCATTTGGTACTTAGATATTTTTAATTATAGCATTACAGGTTTGACTGTTATTAAACAGTAGTAGAGGAAATGACTCCGTTAAGATGATCATCTCTTGTCTTCTTAAGCTGAAATATGCACAAACTTTTCCAAACAGATAAAACTGCAGTTAGGTAGGTTATAATTACCAACTTCAAAATAATCCAGCCATTTTCAGTGCCTCTGAATGTGTCCAGGATTATATATGACTCCTTTTATGCTAAGGTTACTTTTACATGCAGAAAAGCAATTTGAGAGTGCCTGTGCACTAGCTACTACTACCACTACTACACAGACACGTACACAGATCTGAACACAAACAGGCACAGATTGTTTACCTAAAATTTGTGAATCACCAGAACTTTGGACATTTAGACATATTTTCAGGGTTGCATTGCTAAAAGACTACATAAGGGCTGTTTATATTCTCTGATAAAGTAAGCATTTTTAAACCTTCCAGCTACTCATCCTGTGAAATACAAATATGAGTTTAGACGACTGGAGTATATATTTGCTTGTTGAAATCTCAGAACCCCAAAAGTCTAGAAATCTTGTTTCCAAGATTTGCAGTAATATATGGATTCTGTTCTGTGTAACATATAAGCACTTTCTGATGGGTTATCCAGTAGCACTTACTTGCTGAAAGCATGAATATATGCAGTAGAAATTAAATGTCTGGCAGGATAAAATGTGCAAGATAAATTAGGGAGAAAATTGCTTAATTTGCAGAAATAATACTGGCTGCAATATCTACCAGTCCGTTTGGATTGGTTTGGCACAAAAAAAATTGTTTATTTAACTGCCAAATATGTACGGCCCTGAATTGTATAAAAAAAATGTACAATGAAATTGTCCCTCTTGCACATACCAGAAGCTTTGTTGCAATGGAATTTTGTCGTGATGCTGTTACAATAACTTCCTTATTCTTACTAACCTTATTTATTCAGATGCACACATTCATACATCTAATGTGTGGATTCCACATTTTCACTAATATCCAAAATTAATTGTTCACATAGATTTTTAATTACATCAATCTAGGTGCTATTTGGAATTTGACCTTTTCCTTTAGGTTTTCATATAATTAGCAGATAGCATCTGCTTTTCTTTCTTGGTCTGAGAGATTTAAAAAAAAAAAACATTTCCCAGGTCAAAGCTTATTTCCTCATTTCTTTCTTTCCTACCTAAGCACTGATTGCAGAAGCTTTAAAGCTTGGCCAGGTCATTAGCATTCCAGTGAGATACGTCCCTGCCTTTTTATGTGGCAGTGCAAAGGAATCAGGCTGGTTTTCAGTAACCAGTGCCCATTTCCGAGTGCAATCTGATGTAGAAGCCCTTCTGATCTGAAACACAGAAATTCAGGAGCAACATCTAAGGAAAGATTTTGGGAGCTGAGATCTGAACTTAATTTCTGTGTGATGTAGGAAGCTTTAAATGCCTGCTAATGAGCAGCTAGTGATATTTGTTCCCCTAGGGCAGTGCTTCTAAACCTCGGGCAACTTGAAGATGGATCGACTTCAACTCCAAGAATTCCCTAACCAGCATGGTGCTGGGAAATTTTGGGAGTTGAAGTCCACACATCTTCAAGTTGCTGAAGTTGAGAAACAACACAGCTCCCAGGAGGAGCAGGCATTTTGCAGCAGGAGAAGAGTGTTTAGGAGGAAAACATAAGAGATGCTGAAAGTTATTAAGAATATGTAGCACTTCTGGCCTCTCTTTACTCTTATTTTTCCTCTTCTTTTTCTTAAATATTAGTTTATATTAGTTTTTCTCGTTCTGTTTTTAACATTTAATAAAGTTGTGCAAAAAAGTTTCACCTGAACCCAGAGATTATTATGAAACCAATAGAGTAACTTGAAGGCAGGTTCAAAGGAAGCAATCTGTACACGAAGTATAATTAGCAGGACACTGTAGTGGCTTTTTAGCATAGTTGGATGGTAGTACCAAGTCCTAGGGGCACCAATAGGTATGAATAATTTGCAGGAAAAAAATTGAATTTATTGTCCAAGCCATCTAGGGGTTTGGGAAAGGTGCATATAATATGTGAGTTCATCCTCTAGTCTGGTCCACCAATTTACCCAGGGACCCTACCTGATTGTACAGCTAATATAATAGTACTTCTGTCCTTCCGTAGAATGTTTCTTTTTTTGGCCCTTCTCTTTCATGCCTTGTGTTTGTCAAATGTTTCATTCTGCCCACTGATAAGGAATAAAAGCGAACTGACTAATGAATGTGCTGTATACTGTATGCCCGATCTTTTATATGTAACTTTCAAAATAATAAAACAAAGCGCCCAATGGTTGTGTACTGCCCTATTGTTAAGTATGAACTTGTGTGGTGGAAATGCTTTATGCCCTGCATCCAATCCAGGTCCTCTGATTCAGGTTTAATAGCAATAGCACTTAGACATATATACCGATTCACAGTGCTTTACAGCCCTCTTTAAGTGGTTTAGAGTCAGCATATTGCCCCCAATAATCTGGGTCCTCATTTTACCAACCTTTGAAGGATGGAAGCATGAGTCAATCTTGAGCTGGTCAGGCTCGAACTTTTGGCATCACTAAAATTAGCCTGCAATACTGCATTTTAACCACTGCATCACCACGGTTCTTAATAAACATGAAATGCAGTGATGTACAACTTTGGAAGCCAATGGCTGTTCTGGGCATTTGAGAGATGTGCCTGGACTTGCATCTTGAACAATTGGGTGGGGCCAGGACAAAGAGCTAGCCAGGGATAGGGAAAAATTTAAATGTGCTTTAATATACTATATGTATTTGAACACAAGGAATATTATTACTTGCCATAGTTTTCCCTTTCTGTCATATTACAATTCAATTCAGTGACAACATTTGGAGGGGCTCTGAGCCCACAGTTAAGTTTTCGGGATAGCGGATTATCTAAAGAAATTTTGGTGCTTTGTGATTACCATCCAAAATGGGAACTCTTCTAATTCTAGCAAATTCCAGAGCAATTGTACGCCTTAATTTCAGAAGGGCTTATTCCTAAGTAAGTTTGTTGAATATTTATTTATTTATTTATTTATTTATTTATTTATTTATTTATTTATTTATTTATTTATTTATTTATTTATTTATTTATTTAGCTTATATGCCGCCCTCTCTCCGAAAAGGACTCAGAGCGGATCACAGCAATAAAATAGACAAATCAATATTAGATGTTAAAAACCATTAAAACTCCCCTTAAAAACCCCTTCAGTCCAAACCGGCCTGGTGAACTAACTATGTCTTACGGTCACGGTGGAAAGAGCGCAGGTCAGGGGCCACCCAGAGCTCCAGGGGGAGTTGATTCCATAAGGTAGGTGCGCCCACAGAGAAGGCTTGTTCCCTAGGAGTCGCCACATGACACTGCCTGGCTGACGGCACTCCAAGGAGGCCCTCTCTGTGGGAACGCACCGGGCGATGGGGAGCTAATAGCACTAGCACCTAGACGTATATACCGCTTCATAGTGCTTTATAGCCCTCTCTAGGCGGTTTACCGAGTCAGCCTATTGCCCCCAACAATCTGGGTCCTCATTTTACCCATCTCGGAAGGATGGAAGGCTGAGTCAACCTTGAGCCTGGTGAGATTCGATCTGCCAAACTGCTGGCAGCCGGTGATCAGCAGAAGTAGCCTGCAGTACTGCACTCTCACCACTGCGCCACCACTGCTCATGCATGCTTAGGATTTGCAGCATCCGCTTTATCACTGCTTAAGGTCAAGTGAACAAAACCTAATGGGTCGCGTAGCTTAGCAGTGTGATATTGTGAATTAATGTTTGGTTTCCTGTAGCTGTGTTGCTTGTGGAACATTTGTACTACCCAGCCTAAATATTATACGCACCATATGGTTATCCTGCTTTTTGTTTAGAAATAGCTACTCGGGGGTGTATTTCAAGCAAGGCTATTTTGGCTTTGTTCACATGATACAGTTATCCATGATTTAGTCAACCACATTTTCTTGGTTTGCCACACCCTGAGTCATTAACTGTCCATATGGCCTGCGTTTGCACAACATGCTAAGCTAAAATCCGTTGAGTAGTTTACTGTGTATTGTGCCAATAGAAATAGAAAACATCTGAGATTCCTTCATCTTGCTGAATTGGAATTTTCAGCTTCTTTATTTTCCAACCTGCCTAAAGGATTTTCTTTTGAAAGAAATGCCATTCAGTAGAATGTAACTTGTGAGGGGATCGTTTGTCCACAGTTATTGCTGACTGAAGCCCCTTATGGATTTTTTGCATAAAATAGGAAAACAAATGGATTTATGTTTTCGGTGATTAGACATGAAGTTCGCACGACTTTGTGGGGGAATTCTGGGACTTCAATTCCCAGAATTCCCCAGCCAGAAGAGAGTTATAACCATAGAGTAAGAAGTAAGTTTATATTTGTACTTACTGTATAACATATACAGTAAATAAAATTGGAAACTACTTCTTTGTATCCTTTTTCTTTCTTTTCTATTTTTCTTCTCTTTTCCTCCCTTTTTTGCACTTTCAGCTTTCTTTTTGATTTCTTTCATTGCAATTTCACCCTTTATATGAGTTTTTATCTTCTTTTGAAAATACCTAATAAAATTGTGCAAAAAAAAAAAAAAAGAAGGGATCATTTGAACTAAGCCACTGAATGGAAAAATAATGCAGAGACATAAAAACCAGTGACATTAGGAAGATCGTGAGGAACAAGCAGCTCCTTCAGGCATAAAAGATAGCAATTTAGATTAAATAGCTTCCTGGTTTGGAATGACTGCATGCAGGGTTACTCACACGACACAACCATTCCAGCTATAAATCGCTGTAGTAAAAAAAAAAAAAACTAAAATACAGTTGTTCTTGAAGTACATGCAGGAAGTTTGATGTTATTTGTCAGATATTATTTGCTCGCAGACGGAAAGCATTCCCAAATGCTTAACAACACAATAGAAGTAGAAAGTGTATTGTTGCTATGAGTGCTAATGGATGTTGACAATGGCACTTCTACCTCATCCGATTGATAGAAGGAAGAAAAAGTGCTTCAACTGAGTTTCTAAAAATCCTGCGATAAGACAGCAAATGAGCACAGACTAAAGAAATAAGAAATCACATTCACAGGCCCGATCACACTGAAAGTTTGGCCAGAAGGACTCTTTTCCTGCCATGGCAACTTCATCCAATATCCATTCCGGGTTCTTAAATGTATCAGCCCACTATTCCCATTTAGTTGTTTCAAAGCTTGTGATATGATCATCTTAAGCAGGGGTGTCAAACTTGATTTCATTGAGGGCCGCATCAGGATTGTATTTGACCTGGGGAGGGTATGGGGTGTGTGGCCAGCTCGATGTCTCGTGGCGGGGGCACCTGTGGTGGCCCGAGAGCTCTGCCAGTGAAAACGGGCTCCCAAATTCTGTTTCCGGCTGCGATGGCCTCCTGCAACTCTCCTGCCAGTGAAAATGGAGCTTGGGGAGCCATGCATGGCCCTCTTGAGCTCTGTTTCCAGCTACGACAGCCTCCTGCAACCCACTGCCAGCGGAAACAGAGCTCATGCGGCCCTCCTGAGCTCTGTTTTCTCTGGCAGAAGCACCATGGGCCATCCTTTGCTGTTTCCAGGGTGGCCCCACGGGTCAGATCTAAGCACACTGCAGGCCGGATCTGGTCCCCGGGCCTTGAGTTTGACACCCCTGATCTTAAGCAATGCTGACATTGCATCTCAATTCATAGAAAAGAAAGTGGGGAAGATTTGAAATGATGTGGTCAAACCTGCAAGCTGTTCCTGAGTACTGAGCACAAGTGATCTTCTCTTCTAGGGTCTTGTTTGCAAGGCCAATAAGAGGTCAGTGGTGTTGGTAACTATAGCATGCCTATTTCCTAAAGTAGCAAATAATATGGCTGTACAGTTTGTGGCCAATGGGGTGGAATGTAACAAAACATAAATCTTCCTCTTTGACAGTAGCTAGGGCCCAAATTTCCTTAACGCTTTTTATTTATTGCAATAACTACAGTATTGTTATTGGTTCAGTGAATATCCTAAGTGTTGCTCATTTTTCACTATAGGGTATGCTAACTCTATCACTCTCATGAGTCTGCATGAATTTAATGTTAAGGTACATCACTCTGAGTCTTTAGACCAGAGGTCTTCAAACTTGGCAGCTTTAAGACTTGTGGACTTCAACTCCCAGAATTTTCCAGCCAACAGAGCTGGAGAATTTAGACGCTGCAGATCAGTGGTGGGTTCCTCCTGGTTCAGCCTGGTTTGGCCGAGCCGGTAGTAGTGACGATATGATGTCACAAACCGGCTCTCTTTGTTCGGGAGCTGGGCCCTCCCGCACCCCCTGCGTTATTCTTACCTTTTATTTGGCCCCACTCCCCATCTATTCGCTGCCTCCCAAGTCCCAGCTGATTGGCTAGAAGGAAAAAAACTTTAAACTCTTGCCATGGGGCTTCAAAGGGACGCCCTACAGCTGATCAGTGTTAAAAGGCAGTGTGGTGGTAGACCAGTGCGCTTGAAAAACAAATGGATAGACCGGAATGCTCCAAGAACAAATGGATAGACCGGTACAGCTCTGCAAGCAATTAAAAGCCTGGTAGACCAGTATGTCTGCTAAGTCCTAAAGAATTGTCACATGACCATCAAACCACACCCACAAAATAAGGCCCGCCCACAGAACTGGTAGTAAAAAATTTTAGAACCCACCCCTGTTGCAGATGAGTTAATTCATTCCCTTTATTTAATGGGCTGTGCAACCAGATAACTGGCTTATAACCAGTTTATATGTCCACTTTTATCTTGAATTCATTTCTTACCATTTTATAATAATTTTATTCATTTTTGTGCTGTTACGTCATTGCTTTTATTTCAAAGATTATTAGAGGTTAAAGTGACCCTGTGTGACCCTTCCTCATCGATGGGCCACCCAAAGGGTTGAGTTGATGACAGGTAAAGCAAAACGGCAGCTCTAGGATTGTTCTAATAGCAAGAAATGAGATGTCAGGATTAAAAAAACATTTTTCCTTAAACACAAGCGTCATGGATGACAGAAAATGGAGAACCTACTTTACTTCTGCCAAGTGAAGAAAAGGCCTCATCAATGCATCATTCTTAAAAGTGCATCTGTCCCTTTAAACAGGGATGTATTTCATTTGCAAGCAAATTAAATCAAGTACGATTTTTCATCAGCAATCATTACAAGCTGACAAAACTGGTGATTGATACCACTATTGTGTTCAATATTTCAAAATAACATAATCCTGGATATTTTTTCAAAGGGAAAGCACTTACGAGCGGCCCTCCTCAACCTGCACGTTCTCCAGATGTTGAGGGTT